ACACACTTCCGTAGGCTCAAGCTGTTTGCTTAAAAAAGGTGTTATACCTATTCAAGTAAGTCACTGAGTGTGTGTGTACTCCCTGAAGAGGACTATAAGTACTCATTCCTGTCTGTGATTATCATGATTCGGTCATGACTTTGTGCTCCACGTTTTCTCATTTGTGCCTCATTCCTCATCTCCCTCTTAGCATCCTGTGTTATACAAAAAGCCCTTAACACATCCTCTGCGCAACTTAAAAAGCAGCACTGCTGAAGAATACTGATTTTGATAGATTATATGGCTGCGAGCTGGTATACAAAAGGATTATGAATGGGAGGTAAATGAAGCACTTAGTGATACAGATTCATTTGAAGTGCTATTTGGGTTTTCTTATTAAGTGGGTTTCTTGGAGATTGGGCCCTTCTTTGACTGACGTGTCTCGATATTCACATTTAAGCATTTTATTCACGTTGAGTGTCCCAGTCTCTCTTCCCATCTGATAGAGTGAACAGCAAATCCAAAATTAGTGGACTGATTCAGTCACACAGCGTATCAAAGAAGGGTTCGTATACATGTGAGTCTGTTTGAGATCTTTTTATTCCAGATCACCCGAAGCGTCGTCATGAGCTTCTTTTGGTGAGGAGCCCGGCTATAGAAGATGCATTTGAAATTAGCCCATAGTGTCACATTACTGCCATTCTTTAGTGACTTCAGATGGAATTATTGATCTCATTATGCAGAAGAATCATTACTTGATTGGGAAAACATTTATCACCTTCTTCCCCATAGAGAAGCCTCATAAACACCAAAACATCACACTCAGCACGTGTGTATCAATCTGTCTGACAGTGTGTTTGCACAGTTATTAAGAGGGTGGCATGTGTGGCACATTTGCCACATTGTTGGCGCATTTGCCAGAGATGTGGCAAAAGTGTGTGTAATGTGCCTGTTCATATACACACATGCATTTGAGACATAGAACATGTAGAGTGTGTTACATTAACAACAAAGGAACTTCCAAAGGGAGTATAAGATGCTCAGTTGTGGCTTTGTAGTGAATATATCATACTTAATATAATGTTATTAGGCTACTATAATATCCATGTAACATTCCTATAGGGACATTCGTTTTTTGGTTGGTATCCTAAAATGTGATTAGCAGTTGTATTGGCCACTTTAAAACCTTAAAAAAAACACACTTCATCCCCAATCCTGCCTGGTCTCAGTAGAAACAAGGCATATCAACTCACTCTATTTTTCGTTTTGCATTGTTATATTACGGGTTTAAATTAATAGAAACATCTTTTTAAAAACACACTAATGACAGCATCACCAGTGACGTTTACATGAAGAAAGGCTGAGCCTTGCGCTAAACGGAGCGCAGCTCTGACGCGTTTTTCTGCAGCGCTCTGGCGCACACAGATATAAAACCCACCGCGCACCAAACGCCCGGAGTAGAAGAGAGCCACAGGACAGCGCGCAAATCTCCCTTTGACTCTCTGGGAAATGTAAGTACCTTGATACGATTTACAAAAACCTTGACATGAAACTTATTTAAAGTCTCTCGACATGACTGGTGATGATTGTCTGCTGGTTATGCAGTTGCAAAAGTACTGGCTTTTGGAAATCTGTCACTAATAATAATGTTTGCATGGTTTTACACCCAGACTATAAATGTATTCCTCAAGAAGTTGAACAGTGATCAATCTCAATAAACCGCATTTTTAAGGAAATTCAAAGCAGAGTGGGTGTCCAGTAACAGTTTTTACTTTTCCCGGTCAGATGCATCCCAACTTTGTGAGCTGGCTGGGGACTCTGGGGTTCCTGCTTTGGGCGCTGCTGTGCCTGGGCGCCCTAACGGAGGGATACCCAGTGAAACCGGAGAACCCCGGGGAGGATGCTCCGGCGGACGAGCTAGCCAAGTACTACTCAGCCCTGAGACACTACATCAATCTCATCACAAGACAGAGGTAGGCGACTACCTCTTTGCAGGAACAGAACAGAATATAGAAAGCTTATTAACAGAGCTGGAGTTTTGGTTTAAGGTTTAAACTGATATCATGGAGGACTTTGTAATAGTTTTTCTGCATAAATGACGCAAGAAATAATAATATAGTAATATTTGTCTAATGGCTGGTAGCTTACCAATATTATTCTATTCTATTTCATTCTGTCCATTTCTACAAATGTGTAACCACATTTATAGTGAATAATTAATATAATGAGATGACTACTATCAGATAAAACATGCATACAAGTTCAATGGTGCTTCAGTAATTCTTCCAGTTTAAGCCGTTTTCTCCTGTAGCCCTAAATACAAAAGTAGGAATACAGGATTTTATTTTTGTTTATCATCGTGGCTGGAAGTTCACAGGTTCCACAAAAAAAATTATATATTTCATAGGAAAAAATATTCAATTTTCTTCTGTTTCTCTGCTATCATCCAACAAGTCAACAATGGTCTTCCTCAATATTTGGTATTTTCTCAACATTTCTATCTTCGATTAGAGCCATGACATAGGTTAGTAATCTGACAATAGAACATTTTGACATCAAACAAACAAAACCTAGTCCACGTTAAGTTTTGCCTTTTGGATCTGCCAGTCTAAGACTTGCAGGTCTGGCTGTAGCTTCTTGTTACAAAGAAGGAGACACCTGCTGCCCATTTACCACCTAAAAAAAATCTGAGAAGAAATGATTGCCACGGCCAGCATGCTGTGTCAAATCACCCACAATTTTGAGCTTTCTTCTGAATGTCAGGGGCTTGGACGCCGCTGCAGGCGTTTAGCCACCCAGGGGGACAAGCGTGCCAGCATTGCTTATCATCTGAGACACAGAAAAGGAAATATGACCACCTGCAATGCAACTTCAGTCTGCTCCTGCAGGGTCTGACTGTGTTCAGCCTTCCCTGAGCTTATAATTGGACATATGACATGAGGACATGCAGAGTAATAGTTCAGTTATTTATTTGCCTGTGCTCAATTCAGCCAAGGTCTCTCTCTTTCTCTGTGATGTTTCACTTAACAACCAAAAGGTCTAAGTTAGTGTTACGCCCTTTAAATTTCCCCTCAGCTTGACAAATCATCATCCCTTTGCCTGCCTGTCTGTCTGTCTGTCTGTCTCTTTGTGTGTCTCAGGTATGGAAAGAGGTCTAGTCCTGAGATTCTGGACACACTGGTCTCAGAGCTGCTGCTGAAGGAAACCACAGACACGCTTCCACAGTCAAGGTGCGTGTAAGACTGTTAGTGTACTGAATTGCTCTAACTCTCATAGGAAGCTGACCTCAGCTTTTTCTTCTCTCTTACCAGATATGACCCATCATTGTGGTGATGCTGTCATCAGTGTTGGCTCCACCTCACTGCTGCCCGCCACCGCTGACATTCTGACCTGATCTCTTATGCCATACCCTACAACAAATGACCACCCTGCCTCTGCCCCTTTAACCTGTATGAGCCCCCATATTCAACCCCGCCTCCTTACCCATCAGTTACACTCTGCTTATAGTATGTGCCATAAAATTGTAAATAGTTTATTCAGAGTTATCGTCTGTGGAACCTAAAAGTAAAGTGGAGGAGGGCATGTTGATTGCATTGTATAATTGTGCTATTAAAGATTAATTGTGTGAAGAAATGTATTTTTTGCATCCATTTGATATGCTAAAAGTTTCATGTTATCTAATATTTGTTTTCAAAATGTACGTATTGAGCACATTCGGGGGATGAATTGAGAAATTTTGGACTTGCTGTGGCACACCTTGCCTCCCAGCTGAAATCCATCCCTCTAGCAGCTAATGTATCTCTGTGACACTGGATAAGGGGGCACGTGCATGAGTCCATTTAAACAGGGTCTAACGAGTATGAATGGTCCAGTAAAAGCTTGCATGGTCAGAAAAAAATCAGTTAATTTGAAGCTGACAATTTTGTAGGTAATGGCGCTCTCTTGTGGCCATATGGATGAGCACCTACGCTGAAAGTAAATGAAGGGAGAAATGGCATTTCCAGGAGCATTATTGCAATTATTCGAGTGGTTAGCCTACCGCAACCTGACATCTAACCAGCCCGCAGAGCACAAATCAAGCAGTTAAGAGGCACTGTAGACACACAGTCTGTAATGGGAATGAGATATATACCCAAAGGGCAAAAACACATTCAGAGGGACACTTCTGAATGAATTCTTGGTATTCGTGTGGTGTTGGCAACATTTTAACCGAAGTGTGGGACCCATTTAACCATTAGCAAGATACTAACACCTGGCCATTGCCCGACACTGAACCATGAATTGAAAACTTGAATATAATAATAGAAATATTAGCCGCTTCGTCGCTCTCTCACCCTGCAATCTAAAGGCGTGGGTTGTGTGTGTAGAGTAGCCTACATAAAAGCAGTCTAGAGCATAAATGAATTGGGACACTAGACCTACATGGTTGCCTAAACAGTGGGACCTAACATTTTAACCTAAAATCCCCATTTAATCTGTAAATGTGAAATGTCATCCCATTAATTGAGTTGGCAGGCAAAGTCGTTTGCCCAGCCTGCTGCTAACCGTCCCAATGGCTAGCTATTGTTTGGGTGGTCAATACTACCACAGGGTACTATCACGTTTATGTTACTCAAAATGTGCATTTTGAGCGGCCATTCTTAATATAGGCTACCTACTTTAAAATCTGTCTTGGTATTAGCATGTGGCTGTGTGTAGGCTGGCCTAAAATAGCCTATTTTTTTTTTGTCAAAACGAGTAAACAATCTTATACTTTTTAAGATATAGGCCTATAGTTTATATAGCCTATTATTATGGCTTCATATAAGTACAGCGCCCTGGGCCTTATACTTTTATGTTGCAGCCTACTTCAATATCCATAGTCTTCATGATGCAGTTGTCTATTTATGTGAGTGGACGAGTGTATGACATTGTGAAAAAAAGAAAATAATATGCTACAATGAATTCACTTAGCGAGGGTTGTACCTCAGCTGCCATTGGTAGATGTTGTATGACGCCAGGAAAGGAGGCGGGGCGTATCTGTTTGATTGGCGTCGTGTTCTCTGGTAGTCGGCTGCGGGACCAGGACAGACAGCTGAGGGGGGCCTGAATGTCCAACCGGGACGGTCGGTGGACTACCGCGAACTCACACGCACGATTCACACAGGTAAGTCAAGGCTCGTGATCATATTTGTGGTGTGAATATGTTGAATTAATTCATCCCCTGGTATTCAAATGGGAGACAAAGACACTTTGCGTGTTTGAGGTGCAGTAGAGTTTGACAGAAGAGGAGGTTTGCCCCCCTATAGAGCCCGCTGTGCTGGGAGAACAAGCTTTATTCAGACCGATATCAGTTTGCATTGGGCGTCAATTGGGAAGTCGGACGCGTCCTTTCCTTTTTCCTGCATATCATGAGGAAGGATACAGCGGTTGGGTTGTATTCGTAAGTGTGCGCACGCCACAATGGCTCGAATGGGTAACAAAAAATGGCCGCACGTGTGGCGAGATCGGCGTGAATGCACAGTTGTCTGGTCAGCCGAAACGGCGCAAGCTTTTGGCATGGATCTGGCGCACGGTTCGAGCGCACGGATGTTGCCATGCGTCAGAGCCGTGGCGTCGATCCATGACTGGGAAGATAACGAGGGAAGAGCCGCAGGTTATAGTGCTGACAGGAGGTCTGAACGCGCCACCGACCCGAAATGATGGACTGCAACATGTACCAGCAAAAGGTGGTGAGCTTGAGAAAAGACACATAGAGTGCGCTTTTTACTGTGACATCAAGTCAAGTTAGGAAAATCGGCACCAGGTAGTTCATGTTCTCTTAGTTTGTTGTCTAGAAAAACTTTCACAACAAAGCGTTGTTTGTATTGAGCCGATGCTCTGTGAAAAGGGAGAAGTGGCTTGGCACAGGCTGGCCGGGCGCAGCCAGACCGTCCTATTGATTTTTATTTTTTGGCCCCCACTTGAGATGTATTGGTGCACCATCTAATAATAATGCACTAACACGATGTCAACCCCACTTTATGTGAGCACTTAATCGAAACATGAAACCACTTACATATCAGAGCAGACTGCAGCTCTCAATGAATCTTGGGACTTCATTGCTCAGAAGAGCACGGGGTCACTTGGCAAGGTTCATAAGCTGTTTAGCCTCGCGCACGTGATCGGGGAAGCCCATGCACATACGCAACATCCTTGGGGATCCTTCCTGGGAGGGACTATATTGGCCACCAGACCGCTGAGAGAGGTAGCATGGATCTTGTTGCATCTAAACTAGAGTTTATGGGTCTTTCTCTCTTCCTTTGCAACCTTATAATAAGCCCTAATCAGATTTGCTGAATCTAATAGGAGGAACAAAAGGAGGAAGGGAAGGAGACTGAGACAGTTTAGTGCATAGAGCAAATCTGCAGTCTCTGGGCAGGGATATCCAGTAAGACTTTTGAGTCAGGTTCCAGGATGACCTTTATTGTTCTGCTAAAGTAGGCGGAATGAGGCAGAAAGTTAGACTTCTCAGCCCTCATATGCATATTCCTTTCCGTCAGCAGGGTGAAGGAAAACATGAATTTCCAGTTAAACAAGCTCCTAATGTTGAAATATATGAGAATTGTCAGTGAGTCATTCAGAGACCAAATCTAACATTCAGAAGCTTCTACTCTTCCATTATTAATTCACAGCTATGGGAGAGATGGTACAGGAAAAAAAAAGGAAGGAAAGGGTAGAGCAAGAGAGAGACGGAGGAAGCGACACACACACACACATACTGTGCTGGAGTGACTCAAACCTCCCAGCTATGAACAACACATGGATCAGAGAGGGCTGTTATCTACACACCTATAATCAACCCTCCCTGCCCTGCACCTCCCTACAACACATAACTGACCCCACAACAGCTATCATGAGCTAACTGCATCTCTGTTGAGAAAATACGCAACTAAATGACTAACCTGTACAGAGTGGAACATTACTTTGTGTAAGAATTGCTACAAGGCAAATGTTTTTGGCAGTTTTTGCTGCAGCCTTGAGTGCTGATTCACCAGATTTCATCCATCACTAACGCCTTAAAGGGGCATGTATCTTTCGACAGTTTGGCTTTATGAAAAACATCTCCTTTTTGTCTTTCATCACCTAAATAAAGACGGAATGTTGAACCTCTGATGCTACACTGGTGAAACCCCACTGACAACAGACTGATTAAAATGGGAAAGTCGACAGAATAAACACATCTGCTGAAAACACATCTGCAATGAGATTCTTTAAGGTCATGTAAGCATACCAGCTCCAAGTCTCAGTCTTTTATACTGGGGCAGCTCCAGCTAGTATAACACCACAGTATAGCCCTTGTTCTATGAAGGAGATGCAAGTGTTTGTAATTCTTGCCAATATTTGAAAATGTGACAAGAGGAATGGAGAAAGGGGCAAACAGGCTGGGTAAACTCATTTGAGACTAATTTCTCTTCCTCCCTGTCTCTTCTCACATCACATTTTCACCATCCAACATCACACAACATCAATTTTCTCATTTTAAAACTTTGTAGTCGTGTCAAGTGCGGTTGCATCACCCAACCCCCACCCGCCTTTTCCTAAATACTAATGATCAGTAACAGGAGGCTGGGAAAGGAGAGAGACAGACGAGAAACTGGCACGGCCATGTGGCGGGGTAGATTATGTCAGGGGGTGCTCGTTGTTAAGATGACTTGACGGCTTGGCCTTGACGAGCTGCGGACGGCCGTGTAATTATATCATACCGAGCTGCCTGGCAAAGCACAGACATCCCACCAGCTGGAACAGCAGGGAGGAGGAGAATGAGCTCATTTTTGGTGATGCGGGGAAAGTGCCGTGGTGCAACAATTGATGCCTCTGTGTTAAGTGGTGGTAATTTAGATTGTAGTGTCAGGTGAAGAGCAAAGGTAAGCATGAATCAGCAGAAAGCTGCATTCTCATCATTTGTGGTAGATTGGGAGAAACTGAGCTGTTTTCATCAACTTTCTAAAAGACAGCCGCATCAACAGCTGCAATAATAGAGCGATAACATGCTTACGTTTAATATTCTGCAGATATTGATCTTCTAAGATGGCCATCTTGGGGGTAACACTGTAATCCTCTTATTGAGCGGCTGTGTTAAGACATGGAGTGACCTACATAGGGTTTGTTTGGAGGCTGAGACTGATGGCTGCTAGGCAGGACAGGACGGGGTCTGTTAAAGGCGAGGGTGGTTCAATGAAAAGCCAATCACACACACACGTAGGTCCACAATTACACACTACTTCCTTGAATATCTTGTGCCCCTCTAGCACTCACTGCCATACTGGTGTTGTACAGTGGGAGCGCTGCAGATCAGTGCTCAGGGAAGTTTATTAATTGCTCTTTGCTATCCCTGGAGTCAGCCAATGACGTGACATCTGGCCTCTCAGGCAGGGCAGAGCACACGGGCCCCTTTTGTGATTCTCAAGTCATTGAGAGGAACTGAGAGTGACGGCTGCTCTGTGCCCCTGTCTCTGTGGCGCAAAGGAGGGCAGAGAGTATATTATTGTGCAGACACAGAATAGAGGTGGAGAGAATATATCGACTTGGACTGAACTATCTCCAGGATAGATGCCTTATGGGCTTGACACTGTGTGTCTATATTTTTGTTCATGACTCTAAGATTATATTTTCATAAAATGTGCTCATTGACAAACTGAGCCAAACATAGAGTGAGATTTTCTGAGAGCGTCACTCAAACTGGAGGAATTAAAACCACACAACCTGCTGATGTTTGTCTGTGCTTTCAATAGTACGCGCGCGCGCGCGCACACACACACACACACATTTATATGTGACAGCAATGATGTTTTGTACAAAAACAAACCCTCTGATCCCTCGATAATCCCGCTTCCATGAGCTGTCCATCATCTGAGTGCTTGGCAACCAGGGGGCACTCGGAGAGCTTTTGTTTTTGTCTAGTCCTTCTCTATGCGCGAGCCAATGGCAGCCGAGATTGCAAATGACCACTTCCTGTAACTTTCCCTCTGTCCCAAGAGGAGTGGACAGTGATTGCGATAAAAGGACATCAGGGGAGTCTAGAGTCCAGTGCATGCTCAGAGTTTAAATCAGTGAAAAATGTAATTGTGTATTGTAACCCAGTTCCTAGTCCTTGAGATCACCTGGATTTTGCATGCAAATAAGTGCACGCACAAACTCTCCACATCTATTATATGTAAAGCAGACTCTCTCTGGACATCGAGATACATAAAGATTGTCATTTGCTGCAGCTATCACAGGAGGACCTATAGTTACCTTGCAGTTTATAGAAACAGTGAATCAGATTACAAAAGCGTTTGTGTTCGACGACCACTCCCACTAGCCTTTTTGCTCTAAAGGCCTTCTCATCTGTTCCCTCTCCTCCTCTTATCATCTGAAGACTTGAGAGGCTTTTCCCCACAAATCTGTCTAATCTTTAAGGATTCTTCTCTCTTTCTTCTCTCCTTCAGGACTCCTAATGTGCCTTTTATCTATTCCTTACTCTCCCCCCTGCTCCAAATCTCATCTCTCACTCCTCTGAAAGTCTCCCACTCGCTCTGACCGTTTTTATATATACTTTCAAAAGTTGCGACCCTTTCCCACCTTTTTTCATCTCCTCTATTTGCTTCTCTGTCCCTGTTCGGACCTTTGATTGGCCCCGCCTGGCTCCTGCTCCATGGTGCGGATGATTTGGCAAGGAATTGCAGCGGTGGCTTTGCCTCCATTAACATTCTTCCAAGGGATATCCTTCCCTTCCAATGAGCGTGCCGAGCCTGATTGTAATCTTTGTTGCGTAATGAATCGACCTCTCGCTCTTTTTCTCCATCTTTTGCTCACACAATAAAGGTCCAGTTTTGGCACTTGGAAACGAGACTGGATTGGCAAGAACCAGGCTAGAGAGGAGCTTAAGGTCAAAGGTTAAGAGGACAGTGTGATCTCCTCCCGAGTATGTGAGAAAGTATTCTAACAAATAGAAATAATTTATAGGACATTTAGCGTATGCTTTTACACACAGCCTTAACAGAGTGAGCAGGTAGAACTTGTGATTTTTATGGGACAATCTTTGCAGCCACCACTCTATCTTTCCCTCCCTCTGGGCAAGAGAAAGAGCGGAAGTAGAGGGAATGAGAAAGAGGCTGAATGAAATGAAGCATGTAAGAGTGATAATCTGTTGTTTTCTCGGAGATTGCAGGCATCAGTTATTTGTAATCACACTATTTCATTGTTTTTTTTTTGCTGGCTTGCATTTTATAATGGTCCATTTCACAATGGCTATTCAGAGCAGCATGAATGGGTTTAGCGCTGCCAGACTTTGCGGTTCTATTAGACAGATGATGTTTTAAACATTGTACAGTGGGGTTTGGATTGTTGCAGGGGAGTCGGTTCTTTCTGTCCGCATTTAGAGTAACTCATGAATAGACACCAGAGTACAAGAACTAAGCAAATACAGTAAGAAACAGTGGTTTGGGGGCTAATGCAGATACCAATACAATACAGTTCATTCCTGACCTCGGAAATAGCAATCACCAAAATCTCAACTAAAGCTCCACTTGCTTGCTTGTTTTGAAGCTTTCGATCATCTTCACAGTCGTCATCAGCAGGTGTAGCTTGTTCTGATGTCAAAGAATTAGAATATGCTCAAAAGCTCACAAGTGGAGCTTGATTTGAGATTTTTTTTTTGTCAACCTAATAACAATTTGTGGTTGATATTATTTTACATTTTGATATAAATGCACATCTTAAGCAGGGATCCATCAATTTTGGTTTGCACATTTTTTTGTCTACAGTTTCTGTTGACTCAGGTCCTGCAGAGTATTCTAAATATATTTGTTAAAAAATGTAATATAGGATATTATAAGACCAAAGCTGGATGTTTGATTCTGATACTGACAGTTTAAAAAGTTTAACAAACACACCATAACCAAACAACCCTGATACAAAGATTCTGTTTTTTTTAAAGAATTGTGACCAAGATACATACCGACCGGGACATTTCACAGTTCATATTTTACTTGTCGGAACTGTCTGGTGGACAAACTATGCGATGGTGACACAATTTGGCATTTCTGTAATGCAGTGTACACCAATATATCTGCAGTGAGCTAATATCTGTTGATATATCAGCCTGGCTGATTCAGTCTAGCTCTACAGTGCAAAAATTACTTTCTCAGTTACCTAAAACACTGCTTCCTGCATTTTGTACTGCATCTGTGTTTGCATATCAGCCAACATCTACAATGATATAGATATGTCTTTGATCAGCCAGTATTGGCTAATAATATTGATCTTCTAATTTAATGGTCCACTCCTATATGATGCATGTTTTTAAGTTTGCAGGTCATAGTGAGAGGAGAGTCTTCCTGGGAGTGAATGGATACTGCTTTGTCACTACTTTAAGAGAATAGTGGCTATTTACTATGTAGACGATGGCACTATGCCAGATGATGATGCAGGCATCCTCGAATAGCTGAGGACAATGAATCGTCCTGGTCGATTCTGTGCAGATGAGACTCCTATCTCACAAGACACGGGGATGACAAAGATAGATGAAACAGGGGGAAAACTAAGGAGTCAAAGAGTGTGTGTGAGGGCTAAGCACAAGTATGTACCTGAATACTCAAACAAGTGTGTTTGTGTGTGAGGAATGATGAAAAACAAGTGCGCAGGAATAAGAGCACTGATTGAATATTCTTGTCTCATAAGGACGAGTCTCACAAACGTTCTGTCTCCCTCTCTCTCTCTAGGTCTTCACAGTTGACTGATGAGAAGCCAGTAGGACTGCGGTTGGGCTACACCGACTGGCACAGGTAAACACAACTTCCTCGCTGCCTCTTCCTCAGTACTGACACACTGGAGATGTTTAGGAAAAGGTTTACTGCATGCTGTAGTTCAGTGGGAGGACTGCCAGTCTTTCAAGCAAGCATGTGCTGATGACTGCTCTTAAAATCTTTTAAGGAAGTAAGGAGGCAGCTGGTTTTTCCGCATGTGTTTATGTGCCCATGTGGATTAGAAAGTGCATGCTAATATTAATCTAAAACTGTAAAATAGAAGCCTATATATTTTAATTTGATTAAATCATTCATGAATCTTAACTGACAGTGACTGTCAGAAAGCACACGTTACATTATTGGCCACTGTTCGGTACCATTAGACTTTTGTCATTGCAGGTTAATGTAACTTTAATTAAATCAGACTTTGACTTTGTCTCTATTGGTCCCCACATGCTAATAAATATTCAAGTCTTATCATAGGTACAGCATTCTTACTCATGCAGGCTTCTCTTGCCTTTAAAAATACCAGCACGCTTTCACTCAGTGCTATTTAAATACATAAATTGGCTTATTGTTGAATAATTAACTAATTATTTTCATAAAACATAGCGCAATCTTATTTTGCTCATTATAGACTTGGAGCTTGGTGATCAGTTATTTTCTTTATATCTGTGCTGACTTCCCATGATGCTTTGTTTGTTTTTTGTTCCTCACACAGCTGTTCTGCCTCAGTCAAACTCTGTGTGAAATCGGCTCTCATCTTCTTACTTTCCAAAGAGCAACAATTAGAGGAAGGTCATATGAGTAATCAACAAACTGTGAACTGCATTTAGTTTTGTGGGTCATTTATCCTAATTTCAATTAACAGAAATATAGTGTACTGCTGTAATAATGTTCAAAGGGAAAATATCTTGCTTCCTTTCACACTTGACTCAGAGGCTGTTGCTACTAAAGGCCATTTTAGCTGGCCATTTCCAAACCAGCCAGTGTATCATACTGTTAGCCATGTAGAGATGTTTGAACTCTGGATATGGTGAGAGAAGAAGAGAGAGATTCTGTAATCCCGTATTTTCGTGGCCAGATTAAAATCCCATGCCCCGGGTTGGGGGAGGGGTTGACTGTTCCTGTTGATGGGGTGGAGGGAGAGGCGGGGTGGATTAACGCCTACAGATCTGCCTCACGCACAGCTGTGTCACTGTGGGAGGGACTTGATGGGTGCTGAAGGGGAGGAGCCTGTTTTAGGTGACTCTTAACACTGGGATGTATTGGCTGCCTCTTTTGCTTTTCCTCTGGAGGTCAAGAAGGACACTAGCTTTTGCAGTTGGGTTGTGTTATGTTATACTGTAGTTTGAACACATTTTTTGACAAGTCTGCTTCTAAATGGCTAGTACTCGTTGCCTCCGTTGGTTAAGGGTGGAGTTAGGGTTAGCCAGTCAGAGGCAGAGTAGGGGGTAGGACGTGACGCTTGTGTCCGTCAAGTGAGAGTTGTCAAAAATCTGGGGAGGGGAAAAGATTACAGCTAGAACACTTGGTTTTTAGCCATGCTAGCGGCGTAGCTCTAGGGATGGCAATGTTGGTCTTTCAGTCGGTTGGTTTATTACTTTGGTCAAGACTGAAATATCTTTAAAAATATGGGATGTTTATTTTTATTTTTTTTTACAACCATTCATTGTTCCCAGAAGATGAATGCTAAATAATTTGGTGATTCCATTTTTTATCTAAAGCCACAAACATGTCAAAGTTGTTACTTATCCAGTGAAATATCTCAACATCTACTTATGGATTGGCCGAAAATTAGATACATTGATGACATTGGTGGTCCCCACTGGATGAACTGTAATCACTTTGGTGACCATCTGACTTTTAGCACCATCATCATTCCAACTTGTAATTTGTTAAATATTTTTGTTTATGATCAAATACCCACAAAACTAATGACACTCCTATCAGCTAGAGCTGTACTGGACAATTGTTAGCATGCTAACATGCTAAACTCAAATGGTGAATGTGGAAAACACACTTACTGAACATAAGCAGGTTAGCACGCTCATTTTGACCATGTTAGCATGCTGACGATAGCGTTCAGCTTAAAGCAACACTATGCCTACACTAAGTATAGCCTCACAGAGCTGAGCTAGTATTGTTGTAGACTGCTGTTGCTATTTATTTCCACATAAAGCTTGATGAAAAGTGTTCATGCATATACTCTCTCTATGAAACCAAGGTTCCTACTAAGGAAGTTTTCCACCCAGTAGCTTGCCCAAAAGTATTTAAACTCAGGCATGGAGCAGCTTAATTTGCAGCCTAAAATGTGAATAATCCAGTCAGCACCTCATGTCTACTGATTTAGCGAGATGTAAGGTTGTAAGGGCACATTAATTTAAGGAGGAAGTGAGACCAAAGAAAAAATGAGAGAGAGAAAAAGCTCCCATTAGGCTGACACATGCTGCTGTAAGGACCGCTGTGGGAAAACGTACGAGCACAATCTGCACAAGCTGAGAGTTTCTGCATATTGCTGCAGCGGGGTGTCCAAACTATGAGCTGAGTGAATGAGAGAAAGGAGGAGGAAGAGAATGGGAATGTAAGGTCAGGCCCCCTTCAGTAACACTTACTTATGTAAGATTGCTTACATAATGACACATTCAAGTGTGTGTGTGTGTGTGTGTGTCTGTTTGGACAAGAAGGGGCAACTCTACTTTGGGTGGGGTTGGGAAAACAAGAGGTAGGGTACTCAAGCAAGCTCTCAGCAGGAGAGGATTGTGGGATTAAATGTGTGTGTGTGTGTGTGTGTTATCAATGGAGGGGAGGGGGGTGAGGGGTAGGAATGGAAGGTATTAAAGCCAGAGTGGAGGGAGGGGACTGACAAGCATTGAACTTATGTCCTCATCTGTGTATACGATCCAGCTTTATACCTCTCTGTCTCTTTCTGTGCCTGTCTTTCGGAACTCATCTTCACATCAGCCTCTTCCCTTTTTACAATTTCTCCCCCTCATCTCTCCTCCTCCTCTCCGCTCCTCTTTCCCTCTTCATCTCTTAATATCCCCTGATCTTAATCCCACTCTATTGTCGCTCTCTTTGTGTCTCTCATTCTGTCCTCAACCCCCCCCCCCCCCCCTCTGTACTCTCTCTATCTCCCTGTTTTTGGGAGTTTAGCGGGTCAGCAGTGCCAGACAAGACGATTGGAGGACAGAAGACATAGTTGCAGAACTGCTGGTGGTTTACTAGTGGTTAGCCTTAGCATACTTGTGGCAGCAGGGAGGAAGAAGGAGGGCTTGGCGATGGTCACGGCTATGGAGGATGCCTGTCCCAATGGGGTACGGGAGGAGGAGGAAGAGATGACGCCCCCGGGACAGCCTGGCATGGAGGGCCCCCCGGCCGTGCAGTCCACCCAGGAACCAGATACGTCTGGAGGTGAGGAAAGGAGGAGGAAGAGGTGGCATGTCACATATTTAGATGACCAGGGAGATACTGTAGCCTTTGATTTTTTTGTTTCAAAATATGAGACAGAGGGATGGATGGAAGGGTTTTATGAAAGATGAATAATCAGAAGGCAGCAATGTTTTTCTGGTAACTACTACACATTGAAGTAGTTATATTTAAATTTAAATTATCGGACGATGTTTTAGAGCACTGGTTCCCAGCCTTTATTGTGTGATGTATCCCCACTGCTCTGTCAGATTAACTTCATTGTCATGTTCCAAAAGTGTTTAAATTGATTATAAACTTGTTATTTAACATTATCACTTACATTAAACATGATGACCTTTGCATATAATTGAACCGTCAGTGTTAAGGTTGATTTGATCAAGTTTCCATTGGTACCACTACCACTTGGTGTTAGCAAAGTTGCTGGACATTTTAACCATTTATCCATGACTTAGCTATTTCAACCATTAAACATGTATCTGTTACTTGTAGCTATTTTACCTGTTTCTGTTAATTATGTAGCTATTTCAACCCTTCCCTTTGTCAATTACTTTTAACTAATGTTAACTACTAAACTGTTTATTAATTAGCTTAAAGTTTTATCTAACTATTTCATCAAGGTCTTTCCTATGTTCCCAGGGTGCTACATGTATGTACCCCAGATTTATACACACATAGTGGGAACATGACAAAGGCTCTCAGGGTCTATGTTCTCCAATTCTAGGGTTAGTGTTAAGGGGTTAGGGAACTTAGGATCCTGGAAACATAGATGTGATACCATTTCATTTGATCATATATTATCTGGAAGTTTTAGCTAACTATTTAAACTATTTAGCCATTACTTGTGGCTCTCTATTTCAACCCAAGCTATCTTTTAATCCATTTATGCATTGCTTTCAGATAACTATATGAACCATTCTTCTTTTAGCTAACTATTTGACTATTAACTATTTATTCATTACAGTAGTAGTAGCAGTAGCTAACTACTTAGACCTTTTCTGCTCCCTTGCTAACTAGCTAGTTTTCATGCAGGCTCAATTGCAACAAGTAGTGTTCAAGTGTTTCAACTGATGCAATATATAGATTTTTTTTTTTCTAATCACGATGTAATTTGTATTTTTTCAAATCACTTTAGCTAGTCTACAATCTTTCCACATACCCCCTAGCAACTGCAGAAGTACGTCAATGGGTACAAGTTACCCCCTTTTGGAATCACTAATTGCTGTGTGAGTTGTGTATTTTCTCTGGAGGCACAGTTCAGTTCTTAACCTTACTGAGAAAATACAGTGAAATGTACTTTGTTATGAGTGATGTTGTGCCAGTCAAACTGCTCCTGATCACTATCTTGTGAGCTAAAACAAAGAAAAACAATATCACCACATAGAATACAGGTTGCCAGGTCTTTTCTCGTGGGATTTGTGTCCCATTCCTTGAGAAACAGAGTTAGGAATACTTAAACGGGGACTCTCTGCATTGGCATTCACCACACACAGTGCTGGTAGGTGTACAGTACATACAGAGACAGTGGTAAGATGGTGAGAGAGACTGCACATAAACCAGAGTGCCACAGAGGGAAGAATTAAGTGCAGGTAAGCAGGGTGACTCATTATGTAAATGAATGAAGCAGCTGGAAATAAGTGCTCCACTGTATCTGTCCAGGGCTGTAATCTCTTAGCTTTTACAACTTCTTCTGGGCTGGTAGGTGGTTGTATCTCCGTCCCATATTTCATGGGATTATAGAGAATTTAGGTAGGAGGCTTTAGTTCATCTCCACTCTCTCACTGGATAGAAAAGCATCTCAAGGTTGCTTGTTGGGATGAGTAATGTACACACAAGTACACGTGGCAGGGGGGTGGGGGATGGGCTGCGATGAGCAAACATTCCTGTGGTCAAGGACACAGTGACACAGAGCTGACCAAGTGGATAAAGGTCAACACGGAGAGCACAAAAACACAGATGTAAGGCAGGATCCAGCTGTGTGTTTATGTTGGGGTATTTCTGAAGTCAGGTGTGTTTAATTATGTTAGTGAGGTCCGTTAAAAAGTCTGGTCGAGTCTTTGTGCAAGTCTCTCTCATGTGCTCTCTTTCATGTCACAAAAACAGGGCAGCATTGCACATCTACTATTTTGAGCATATGGAGAATTTGAAAACACATTATTCTCCAAATTTCAGGAGGGTGAACCGTGACTGCTTGTGAGTGAGTGCAGTGCAGTCAAAGTGGTGGTTTGATGCTAGTTTATGTTTGCACATGGTAGTGTGTGTGGATGTGTTTACTACAATTATAGCTCTGCTCTGAGACTTTATGTTGATTCTAGCTTGTGAAACATAGTGTGGGGTCCCCACAGGAACTGGATATACTGTTTATACATTGCTATATATCTGAATTGTGTTTTTGATTGACTACTGTATTACTTAATGGGTATACAAGTTTAATAGTCAGCAGTGCTGTGTAGTTTGTAATCTCCCTCCCCTATTTGTCCTTCTTTAAGAGGATCATAAATATTTAAGGTTTGTTTTTTGCATGGAGCCTGCTGTTTATGCAGTCTATCTGTGCTCTGTGGTTATTAAGCCACAGTGAGGTCTTCTCTTCATTGTGAGATAAATTGTATTTTCACCAGTCTCCCTCTCCTCCTTCTTAATCATGTAGCTCCGTGATTTCTGTATGTATGATGAATGAGTGATGAATGATAAAACAATGACTCTGTCAGGCTCTAGTTTAACTGATGTGACAATTGTTGTGCTGCAAACCAGAAGAAGTATAATTTAAAGTAAAATTCAGAAATACATTCATTTTGGATGAAAAATACTACCCAACCCAAATGATGATAAATTCATACATGTGTCCTACAGTCTACAGTATGTCCAAAAACCCATACTGATATGTGAAATTATTACATGAACTCCTCTTGCACACAAGATATTACATTTGAAATGATGTAAAATATCCGAAGCTGCATTTATCATGTGAATTTATCTTCATCTTTTTTTGCAAGGGAAAGTTGAGTCACGTTTTAAAAGTACACATTTCAAACACCATATGACACCACAAACAACAACAGTAGGGGCTTACTTTATGACATAGAACATGAGTCAAGGTTAACGATGATAATAGGCTGTTGGAACACAATACAGAGAAAACAGAGTGAATCGACAGTATACAAGTGCTGACTGGACATTATTACTACTCACAAGTGTATAATGACATGGAGAAACACTCCCTCGCACACACACATTCCCATGGCTTTAAGTGTCTTAAATGGGCTTACATGGGTGTTGAGACCCTGACATTAGGGAGTTAGCTGGCTGATACATAGAGTCCACACCACTCCCTCTCTCTGTTTGTGTGCACAGAATACAAGACTCAACAGAGTTCATTTGTTACGATTCTTTCTAACAACTGAGAAAGTTATTAGGAGTTTTATCACTGGACCTTTTCCACACTGAACATATGCAGACCACTGTACCTCCAGATAGAGCTTTAATTTGATATTTTGGGGGCCCAGCTGTGTGACTGGTGTAAGCATAAATAGGCTCCATATGAAGAGAGTCAATGGACTACAAACAAGGCCAATAGAGGTCTCAAGTTTCCTGTTTTTGGAACTTCTAACATCAATATGTCATTTTTATATGATGTGTCACTTAATTTGAAGCATTTTTGGCCTAGTTTTGCAGTAATTAAGTAACGTGAAAGTTTCACAAAGTAGCTTATGGATTGCAGCCACTGATAGCACCATGAAACAGCAACTGCTATCTGCCCTGTCTCAAGGTCCAATTCACAAAACATATTGCGCTAATAGGCTAATATAGTAATAGCACAAACACGCCCATAAAGTTTTGCATTTGAGTCTGATTTGCCCTTGTTTCTGTTAAATGTTTTATCTGTAGTTTTGTGTAGTGGTCCCATTAATAAAATGTAGGCTACTGGAGTAGCACATCACATGACATGGTTTGGCAACATTTGACAAAATTGTTTTTTTAATGCATCTGCAAGAGAAAAACTTTCCTCTCATATCTTAACATGTTTGATTTGAACATATTCTAATTCCAACTATTCTGATTATTTATTAATTCCCCCTGCTCTTTCATTCATTTCTGGCTGCGGGATGTCCCTCTTTTTTCTATGACTCACTCTGGAGTGATTGTTAATCGGGGTGCTTAAACTGTGTGCTCTCCCTCTGAGGCGCATGGAGAGCTGTTTTCTCTACTCTGCTGTCTGCTCGACCGTTACAGTGCGTGATCATCTCTGCTTCTTACAGCAGCAGGTTTTATGTTGCTTTCCAGTTATATTCGGTGGTGCATATCACATATTGTCTGTGCCATCTGTGCACATATGATGTAGCCTACTGTGATGCGCTATTACTTTGCCTAGCTACAATCTCTGCTGCCATGATCACTGGGAAGTCAAGGTGTGGCAACCCTTATAAATGCACTTCAGCTACCACCAACTCTCTGAAGATGCTAATAATTTCACTCTAACTGGCTGTTAGGGCTGGTGATTGTGAATAGGACTTTTTTTGCAGTTAGGATCATTTGCATAGAGAGAGGGCCAATTTTGCCCTAAATGAATGCATATAATCCAATTTAAATACATGGAACTTACACCAGAGCATCGAGACGCTATTTGCTTGGAAGCGCACTTAAGGGTGCATTTCAGCCTTTTTGGGTGCTTTGAGAATTACAACACTGTTTCTTTTTGTCTTACTTGTAAAGGTTTAGTGGCTGCAAAAGCTGCGCAATCCTCTTGTGAATTCACCCCTCAGTGTGTACTTCTCTCCCTCTCAGCTGCTGCTGTATCTTTAACACTGTTATGTGTGTGTGTTTATGCTTTTGTATGACTTTCATGCCTGGCTAACTCTCTCTCTCTCTCTCTCTCTCTCCTCTCCCTCCTCCCCCCCCCCCCCCCCCCCTCCATCTTTGTCTCTTCCATCTAGCCATGCAGCAGGTGTTGGATAATCTGGGTGAGCTTCCCACCTCCACGGGTGCCAAAGACATCGACCTGCTCTTCCTGCGTGGCATCATGGAAAGTCCCATTGTACGCTCCCTGGCTAAGGTAGCACACATACATAGCTCGGGGTGAGGAGCAGCAAGCAGACTAACCGCTAGGCAGCTCCGAGCCCCCTCACCCTCACTACTCCTAGCAGTGCTTTGCTTGCTGTGGCTGAGTTGCTGAAGTACAGTAAGGCTTTGACTAACACATAGTGCACAGTGCATCACACACAGAGACTGTACAAATGCATACATAATGTCAGTAACCAAGTCACTTCCTATTCCTTTTCTTTTACTGACAGTGCATACATTGCAACCTCTCTGCACACAAACAGTTCTAACATGCATCTTCACTGCTGTAGGAAGTCATTTTCCACAATTTAACTGCTCCCTGTAGGGCTGAAACTTGTAGAGATGACAGTTGACTAAACATAAACAAACAACCCTTTGACTTTTAACATCTTGCTTATAGACCAAAATAATCCTACAGTAAGTCAGCCCTTACCTATATGTAGAATGTCTGCATTCACTGCTGTGCAACAAAAGTCACTTTACGTAATTCATTCACACATCCAAATATACTAACATAACAGTCATAAGAGATCAAAACACAACTATTGTCTCTCCATCTGCCCTCCCTGAGCTTCTCTGTCTCCCCCAGGCTCACGAACAGCTGGAGGAAGTGAAGCTGGAGGCAGTGCAGGACAACAATGTGGAGCTGGTGACGGAGATCCTGGGCGACATCAGCAATCTCAAGGTTAAAGATGACAGCGCGGCCGAACTGTCCAGGATTCTTAAGGAGCCACACTTTCAGGTGAGGCGGAGCAAACACTCAATCTGCACACGCAGGTAAAGGTAAAACAGGCATGATTACTGGACGTAATTGTCCTGCCGGGAAGTAATTTACAGGTGACAGTTTTGTAATACTGGCACCTATAAAACACTTTTTATTCACTATATTTTGCTTCTTTGCTTTCAACATCACTGACATTGCTGATGACAGTAATTCAACCTATAGCCATCTCACAATAGCTTTTTAAATTATGAGTGTAGTAGCCTACCTTTTTTGGAACTATTCAGATATTAATGATATTTTTTCATTCAAAAGTTTATAGTAGACCAAACCTAGCGTTGCAATTTGTTGACTGTAGTTACAGTAGCACAGAGATGATGTTTTGGATCCCGTCCTCGTGCATCAGGGGAACATTAACTTTATCCTTGGACCTACCAGGGGTTTACACAGGCTGGACCAATAGGAGTTAGACCTCTGAGCCAAGCAAAGCCTCTGCACCAATCAACTCCCTTTGTGCTGTAAGCAGAAGGATAAGACCCTTTTGACCTACTGAGAGAGAGGGGGGGGGGGGGGGGGGGGGGGATGAGGTAAATGGATATTACATCACATATTGACTGTGTGAGTTTACAGGCTTGTTTTCTTTACCAAGAAAGTGTCTAATAGTTGGAAAGACATTTTAAAAAGTGGTGCTGGTAGCGTCAAAAAAAAAAAGGCTTGGATGCATGTTGGAGGATGGGTAGTCTGCAAACCAAGAATTAATTGATTAGATTTCGTGGTGGTAATCCATATTTGGGATTTGAGCCATGGGATGATTAGTTTTGCACTGAGCCTATATAACTTTTGCTAAACAGCGCCCACTGTGGCCACAAGTGACAATTACATGATAAAGCTAAATGCTAAAACAGCATAACGGTCCGCAAACTAACTCAGTAATTTTATTTACACAGCATTATTTTTCTTAGGTTAGCTACCATTATCCGCCATATGCTACTGGTCATACCAGACCAAGTAAGCTTGTAAATGCAAAATCAGTGTATTTAATTGATCAATGGTGCATTTTATTGCAAAATAATTGATGATTGTGCTTATTCTTCTTTCAGATGTTACACAGTTCCTATTCCTTTAAGCATCACTTCGCACTCTGTCCTCCTCTCTTTCTTTCAGTCTCTTCTGGAGGCACATGACATGGTGGCCTCTAAGTGCTACGAAGTCCCGCCCCCGACTGAGACGGCCAATGATGCAGCGGTGAACAGCGCTCTGATGCAGGCCGATGCTGTGCGCATGATTGGCATCCGAAAGAAGGCCGGAGAGCCACTGGTGAGCAGAGCAAGACAATCTGAGTGTGCATTTTGGGATGTGTGTGTGTGTGTGTGTGTGTGTGTGTGTGTGAGAATGTGGATATCGCTGGATGGGAGCAGTTGAATGAAACAGGGTGTGTGGATCGTAAGACAAAAATATGTCCTCTCTGTCCTCTCAGGGCGTGACATTTCGCGTAGAGAAAGACGACCTGGTCATTGCTAGGATCCTTCACGGCGGCATGATTGACAGACAGGGTCTGCTCCACGTGGGCGACATCATAAAGGAGGTGAACGGGAAGGATGTAGGCAACAACCCCACCGAGCTGCAGGAGATGCTCAAAGACTGCAGCGGAGGGATCACACTGAAAATACTCCCGAGCTACCGAGACGCTCCTGCACCTCCACAGGTGGAAATACACATACAGAAATGTCAAATGAAATGATAATGTAAACACAAACACGCACACTTATGTAATGAGTGGCAGATGTTGGCCAGTGGTACACGGCTGGTGATCTGTCCTGCAGCCCTCCCACAATCCCCTGCACAGGAATGTGAACCCTGTGAGCCCTATTAATAACACTCCATATGCTTTCTAGGTCACACTAGTTGTTTCTGTCTCTTACACACACTCCAAACACACATGCTTCCTGTAATCTCATGCTCCCTCACATGGAAAGTAGTCATTTATGATATTTTTAGATATTTTCCCTCATGCATGTACCACAAATTATCCAGTTATGGCTCCTGAATAAAAATATTCTGAAGGTATTGTGCATCCTGAAGTTTATGGACATAAACTTGGAAATGCATATAATGCTTAATTGAATGAATGGCAGTAAAACTGAATGAGACATAATACAAAATCACATCCTGCTCTGTGGCTCAGGGCAGTGCTACACAGTATATTTTACTGGCTTGTTTTATTGCTTCCTCTGGCTGCTTGTTTAATCTAATACACTGGCCAGAGCACTTAGCCTTCCTGGCAAAAGCCTCCACCATTGGCGCAGCGTGAACAGCTGTGTTGGGTGCAGTGCGGGATGTTAGACGTAATGGGTGTGAATGAGCCACTGTTTCTGTGTCACTGTGTGAGACAGCATGCTGAGCTTAAGTCTTTTGTTTTTCTAATATGTGCATTTCTGTGTGCCTCATCCGCAACCTTCTTGTCTTTTCCTTTTTTTTTTTTTTTTTTTAAACGAGGAAAACTCTCCTACGACCACAAACCCTCAAATAAGTATGAATTCATTCCTGCAAAGACTCAAAGTTGTGCATGTGTTTGTCATAGGTGTATGTGCGGCCGTACTTTGACTACAACCCAGCCAATGACAACCTGATCCCGTGTCGAGAGGCGGGGATGGCCTTCAAGAAAGGCGACATCCTTCAGATTGTCAACAGAGAGGACCCCAACTGGTGGCAGGTGAGCTTTCATCCTCTTCTTTCCTTTGATCGTCCGTCATTAAAAATCACAGGCACGTAAAGATTTCAAGACTTTATTTAAGTGATCTGTAATCTGTGCCAGGCATGCCAAGTGGTCGGTGGAGCTACGGGACTGATACCTAGTCAGTTCTTAGAAGAGAAGAGGAAAGCCTTTGTCCCTCGAGACTTTGATGGATCAGGTATGTCGGTGTGTGCATTTGGTTAGAGTTAAAACATCCAAAAGTGTCTGTTTCTCTCTTTAGCAATGCTGTTGTTGAAACATGGATTGGCCTAAAGTCTGTCAACTGGTTGGCTGCCAGACCTTTTGTCACTTTTTGCTTTTAGCAGTGACAACAGGCAAGAAGGCCAAGGTAGCCAATGTTTCAAACACTTGGAAAATGGTCCACACCTGCCCCCTTCTGGCCAAATGCTATAATTGCACAAATATGCAAGCGCAGAAATGTTCCGCTTTGTTTTGTAGGGATCCTTTGTGGAACCATAGCTGGAAAAAAGAAGAAGAAGATGATGTATCTGACGGCCAAGAATGCAGGTTAGAAGACTTATCATGTTTTTGATTTTTATCTGACATCTTAAGTATCTTTTTATTCACTGGATAATAATCGTGCATGTGTTTTAAACAGAGTTTGACAGACATGAGCTGCAGATCTATGAGGAAGTGGCAAAGGTGCCAGCATTCCAGAGAAAGACGCTGGTCCTGATAGGTGCTCAGGGCGTGGGCCGACGCAGCCTGAAGAACAGACTGATGGTGCTCCATCCCACGCGCTTTGGCACCACTATACCATGTATGTCATGCTTGGTTTTGGTATGTATTTCTAAATTCTGTCACACCCTAACACACAAAAAAGACTGAACTTTTAAACTGTTCTGCCAGACACTTCAAGGCGGCCCCGGGACGATGAGCTGGTGGGCAACTCCTACCACTTCACTTCAAGGACAGAGATGGAGGTAGACGTGAAGGCCGGTAGGTTCCTGGAGCATGGCGAGTACGACGGTAACCTTTATGGCACCAAGATTGAGTCCATCCATGAGGTGGTGGCCACAGGACGCACCTGCATCCTGGATGTCAACCCTCAGGTAAGATCAGGGTTGTTTTTTTGAAAGGGTAAAAGTTTTAAACAGGGTTTATGAAATAAGTCTTGAGGGTCTGTTCAGGGAGAACATTTGGCAGCATTGTCAGGTGTTAAGTGAGAGTAATCAAATCCAGTTGCCCTTGACATAAACATGAGAGGTTGGTTGGGCAATTAGAAAAATTTCAAAGTGAAATCTTTTCAAAGTTTTACAAAATTATTATTGAATTTTTTATGTCATGGCTGTGTCTCTCCTGTCCTCAGGCTCTGAAGGTACTGAAAACTGCGGAGTTCATGCCTTACGTGGTGTTCATTGCAGCGCCCGATTTTGAGACTCTGAAGGGCATGCACAAAGCTGTGGTGGACGCAGGCATCACCACTAAGCAACTCACGGTAGGTTAACGACTCCCATGCACCATTACCCACACTGAGCCATCCAAAAAGAAAATCAGACATGTGAAGGCCTGATTATACATTTACACATCCATATCCCCAAGAGGTGATGACCAAGAGGCATCATAATCAAGTGAACTTTAAAGTTATCAGTACCACACTGTAAACATACTCATTTACAAGTAAAAGTCCTACATACAAAGTAAAACTAGCAGATAAAGTAGCAAAATTGACAAAGTATTAGAAGTAAAAGCAAAATTACTCTTTTGCTTGCTCCTTTCACAGTTTATTATATTATTAGATCATTATGACTGATACATTAACATGGATTTGCATAACAACAGAAACCATTGTAATGTTTCTATGTAAAATTATACAGTTTTTCTCAATTGCTTAAGGCACATTTCTTAATAATGCCTCTTTCTCTTGAAACTCTAAACACGAATCCACAACTTCTCACCCAACATCCAGGTCAAAATGAAGCTCTCCACTCAAAACCATTCAATCTTGCTGAAAACCCAAACTCAGACATAACACACAAGCCTTCAGAAACACACACACTACAACACAGTTTAACACTGGTGAAACAAATTCAAAACAATAGTACTATTATTGTTATTAGTAATGTTGCGTGTGGTTCTCCCCCTCAAAAACCTTTTCACATGATGAACACAACAAAAGACATAGCAAATGTAAACATTTGCACTTTTTTTATTCCTTAGTGTAATGTACAGTACTACACACCAAACAACAACTTTTTCTGCCCCAGCATCCTGCCTTTGGTCTGGGACAGGCCAGAGATTCTTGTTCTCCAACTCCTGCTCCTCTTACCTTTTTCTCCATACTGCTCTTATCCAACGAAGGTTAAAATCAAGGGCAACTGGACTTGGTTGAAGATACTGGAAGACGTTTCGTCCCTCATCCAAAGGACTTCTTCAGTTCTGACTGACTGGCAGGGAAACTCAGCTATTTAACCTCAGTGGGGTCGTTGGCCCGGGTCATCGATACCGCTGGTTCGTTAGTGTTCCTTGTTGCTGTGACGACAGTCGTTACAGTCGTTAAGACTACCTGTGGCCAAGACTGAACAACCATCGTTGGTATCTTCACCTGAGGCCAATAGGTTACGTTTGTTGAGTTTCCTGGGAAGTTATGAAAGGACAGCATTGTAAGTGGGGGATAAGTGGTGGCGTAGACCCCCTCCCCTGTTCAATGACGGCTTCTCGACCCTGGTCTAGACGGCTTCTTTGACACCTCTTTCAAACCATCCACCTTCTCTGTCTAAAATGTGCACCTGGTGGTCCTCAAACGAGTGTCCTCTGTCCTTCAGATGTAAGTAGACAGCAGAGTCTTGACCTGAGGAGTTGGCCCTTCTGTGTTGAGCCATGCGTTTGTGTAGTGGTTGTTTAGTCTCCCCAATATAGAGGTCTGTGCATTCCTCACTGCATTGGACCACATACACTAGATTGCTTTTCTTGTCTTTGGGGTGTACCAGCATCTGTCTTAGTGTGTTCTTGGGTTTAAAAAACACAGGGATGTTTGTTTGTTGAAAATCCTCATGAGTTTCTCTGATAATCCAGACACGTATGGAATCACAATGTTGTTGCGTTTGACCTTCTTTTCCTCCTCCCCTGTAGTTTTGTTCTTCTTGGATCTTGTGGCTGTTTTCACAAAGGTCCATTTAGGGTATCCACAGGCTGTAAGTGCCCCCTTCAGGTGGTTCTGTTCCTTCTCTCTGGCTTGGGCGCTTGTTGGTATGTTTTCCACTCTGTGGTGTAGTGTTCTCATGACCCCTAGCTTGTGCTCCAGTGGGTGGTGTGAATCGAAGAGTAGGTATTGGTCTTTGTGTGTGCTCTTCCTCCTCCTCATCTCTGGTGTCCTACACCTCTTCCTTCAGATTTCTCTGGGTCCATTTTTTGCAAAACTGAATGAACTGACTGGCCCTTTAATCTATTTATTGAAGGTTCTGATAGGTGTGTTCAAATTTTGACTGTATTGTTTCCACCTGGGTAGTTTTGTGCTAATTGAGCTCAACCTGTGCTGATTGAGTGAACAATATTGAATGTCAGTGCTTTCTCAATGACTACATGGTGTAGGCAATGAGAAATGAAGGGATTTGTGTGTAGAGTTTAGGGAAATGGGTGTACTTATTGAAAAATGGTGTTATGGTTTTGAAATTTTATTTCAAAAGTGTGCTTATAGTGTTTAAGCAACTGAGGAAAAACTGTAATCTAGAGAAGTCGTTATCAAACTTTTTCCCCTTTCAAAAGCTGAAAAAAATTCATGTCCGTAAAAGGATTGAATTCTTTTCAATCATTAACAATATTGGGGGAGAAAAGAAATGATTCAGGTCAGCACGATAGCATCAGAAAAATTTATTTTTTCATTTCCCTACATAAATCATGCATCATTCAACTTATACTCCACATTTTTCCCCTGGTCATTCACGCCCTGCATTGGTTCTATGCCCCCAATTTTGAAAACCGCTGATCTAGAGGACTGTTATTTTTTTCTTCCGAAATGTACTGGCATAGAAATATAAAGCTGTTTCTTTTTTTTTCCTTCTGGAGACGCAAAATGCCTCAAGAAAGCAACTCAAATCTAATACTCAACATCTCCTTTCTTCAGTAAGCCTTTATTGGCCCACCTGCCTGCTGACTTTTTCAATGACTTTGAGCACTAATTCTCATGCGTGTAGGGTATCTCGCGTCTATAGCTTGTATAGGTTTCCACAACTCACCTGTCCTTGGTGTGTTGGCAGGATGTGGACCTGAGGAAGACGGTGGATGAGAGTGCCCGGATCCAGAGGGCTTACAGCCACTACTTTGACCTGACCATCATCAACGACAACCTGGACAAGGCCTTCGAGACGTTACAGGCTGCCGTGGACAAACTGTGCAGTGAACCCCAGTGGGTCCCGGTGAACTGGGTGTACTGAGAACCAGCTACAGTCTGAGCGGGCCACACAGTGATCCACCAGCATGTGTGTGTGTGTGTGTGTTTCTGACCACAAAGGCCAAAGAGGATAAGAGGGCAGAGATACTAAATAGTAATTAAAAAAACATCTCTAATTGCTCTTCCTCCTTTTGGGCCTGCACGCCATGCAACTTTTTTTCTACTCAGAACTCAAAGGGAAAGAGTGCTTATTTATTTTATAACTTTTTATGAAAGATCTTTCTATTCAATGTGGAATTCCAGTGAGAATGAAACAAAGAAAATTTGGTCACATTACATGGACCATATTTTTACATTAATTTATTGTCTTAGTTACACATCTTATTTTGTTGTCATTTCCCTTGATTTCAAGTGTTTTTGTCAGTTTTTCTTCATGGACACCCAGGATTTATGATCACCATCCGAGCTTCCGATATAAAGACAAGGAAAGGAGATGGATTGGAGGATCTTTGAGCGGTCATCGTCCAAGAAACCTGTCAGGGTCACACATCATCGCTATGTCTGAGCAACCTGTGTAGCTGTTTTATTTTCACTTCCATGCAACTTTAGTGTTTTGAAGTAGCTGCCCCTAAACTCTTCTGTCAGTGTCTTCCACAGGATCAACTGGGCAGAAATAAAGACGTTAGAAGGCCCGTTTGTGCACAACTCCTCCAGTATGTACAAGACAAACAACTTTATAATGTACTTTTCCAAGATCACTGAACACTGTGTCCGTTATTTTTGTCCAGTCTTGTGTACTTATACTAAGTTATTCATCAGTGTGGTGATTTATAGTGTAGTGTTTGTCACACGTGATCCTTTTGATTTTTTATAATCCTGTTATCAGCCTGTCTGTCTGGAGTATGACCATCAACACTGTCATCTTTACTGTCTTGTAAACCAATTTGTTAATGTTTTATATATGTGAATGTGGCACAAACTCACTCCCTCCGTATGGTCCTAATCTTCAGTGTTGCAGTATGCCAAAGCCCTGATCATACTCCAAATAAAGTTTAAAAATGTTAAGTCTGATTGGTATTTCAACTACAGGTTGTAATATAAATGTATAATTTAACAAATGACGTTGGGTGGTAAATGCATCTAGCAGAGCAAAAGGTGAAACTAGTACAAGTTTGTCTTAAACTTTGTAAATCACGTAAACATATTTCAAAGAATGCCATTTAAAGTGTTCTGAAACCTGTCTTGAACTTCAGGAAATACATTTAAAACCCTGATGAATTACCTTCAAGTTTTAGAGAATGAGCCCGACTGCCTGTTGAAATGGTTTCACATCAACCTCATGTCCAGAGATTTGTTTTTACATTTTAACTGCAAAGTTATGACAAATAAACTTTAATAAACCTCACAAAGTGTCACATCTATCATTTTAATGTATAGGTTACTTTATAAGATAAATTACTGGCAATTACTGACATAAAGCTGGGTATCAAATCTCAGTTGCCTACTTTGTTATATAGACATGTCTGTGGCACCAAGTGTAGAAAACTATTAAGTAATTAAACGCTTGGTCAGGTTCTTAGTCTTTGTTATTCATTGTCTCAGATTTCAATAATATTTTTGCATATTTTACACTGTATTTTATTTAAGCCAAGTCCTTGTTTGGCTGCTTGTGTTTAGGAAACATTTAAGGAGATTGGATTCTTTTTATAAATTAAAACACTTAAGGGTTTACGTTTGCTTTCCTTTAAAAAGAAGGTACAAAAAGGATGATTTTGCTAGTTTTTGAAATGAGACGAGGATGGTTCCAATGAAACTGTAGCAAAGTAACCTGGACATTATTTCTGGAAGAGTTGTTTTGCTTTGAGCACCACCCAATAAATTCCATTCCTCTCCAGGGGCCTTCTTCATAGCAGACATCTTGATTTGTCATAGTAGTAAAAACACAGGTGTTACTAATAACATTAACGATGGTTCCTCAAGTGTTTTCTGTGAAAAACATTGTCCAAGAAATATACTATATGGACGAAAGTACTGGGACACCCTTTGCAGCTCTAACAGCTACCACTCTTCTGGGAAGGCTTTCTTTCCCAGAAGAGTGGTAGCTGGTAGATTTGAGTGTGTCTGTGGGTATTATTGCCAATTCATCCACAAGAGCATTTGTGAGGTCAGACTCTAATGTTGGACAAGAGGGCCCTGCTTGCACAGGGTTGTCCACATACCTTTGTCCATATAGTTAACCTTGAAACCTGGACAAATAAAGCCAAACCTAACTGCATGGCTACAGACTACAAGAAGTAACTGAGAACATTTGTAACTTGGGTGAGCTGACCCTTCAATAATTTTAAACCTAATCATAGTGTGGTTATATTTAAAAAGGCGTGACTTTGCCTCAATTCCTTTTTGATGCCGGAAAGAGGGTTACAGATTATCTGATAAAGTGGTCAATAACAACTACGTAGTCATTAATGCAGCAGCACAAGTCCTTCCTAATGTGCATTTTTCATTTGTATATGTGCTAATATGCCTGACAGATTACTGACACTGCAGTATTTCATTTTGTAAGGGCAAAATGTCCAATAATGATTTACATTTATATTGGACTGATTGAAACTGACATTGTTTTGTGATAGTCGACTAGGCTAACCTATAAATGATAAAAATAAATAAATTAAAAAAACTGTCATTCCAGTGTTAATTATTTCATACTAGTACGCCCAGCTGACCTGGAAAATCACAAACCACTTTCCTTAATTACCATTTTCCAAGTAAATGTACATTACACGGCGTCATCATACATCTGTTTTACTTGCAGTGGAAAGTAAGCCACTATAAGTGACACAGCACATAGGCCTGTTCACAGAGAACGTTTTGACATATCACAGTAGGAAAAGCACAGGCGTAAATAGAAAAATAAATAATGGATTAATACCATTCAGCTGCTTCAGTTTCGCAGTCCGGGTACGTGAACGCTGCCTTACTGTCACGGCTTTCTAGGACACTTGAATATAACGCCACCATTGTTAATGCTTTTGGTAACACCTGTGCTTTTACTACATCTGATAAGTGAAAACGTCTGGTGTAAAAAGACATTGTGCAAACTGTTTCAGTCTGAGCATAAAACGTCACATTGTGAAAATTCTTGGAACAGAACAGAAAAGTTACAACAGGAAATCTTTTTTAAACATTTTTATTAATTAACGCAACTTACAGTCAAGCCAAAGAGTGAACTATATTAAGTGATACATATTCACATTATGTCCTAACAGGGTTTACAGCATATCTTGTGTTCTGTAAGCATACTTGTTAACAAAAATAAGGAAATGTAAAATAGAAATCAAAGCTTACAACTTTACAACAACAACAACAACAAGGAGCTTAGCAGTGGATGTGAACAAATTAAATGAGCAACATAAAGACCCTCACCAGAACAGGAATGACAGCAAATTCAGTTTTGGCATGTCGTGGTTTAAATAAGGGAGACGAAAGAGAGAGAGAAAAAAAAACAACTCAAAACTGAGCTCAAAATGACACAAATGATGGGAGGTTTGAATTCACACAGCTGTGCAGGGCTGCCTTTGCCAAGAGACTTTGGTCACTTTGCTTCTCCATCATGGCTTACAATGAAAAAATAAAATAAAAAGCACAATGTATAAAATGAAAATGGCCAATGAGGGAAAGAAACATCAAGAACAACGGAGTGTCCTGGAATCAGTTCTATGTATGAATGAATAGGGGACTATATTTTATATTTCTCAAGAATCTACAGATGATTGTCTGTTTTCCTTCAATGAGCAAGAAAATCAAAAAAAGGTTTTGCAGGTGACTACAACTCCAGGACAGCCCCTACATTCATAGGAGGTAGATAACATGGCAACGACACAAATTCTTCACAAATAAAAAATAAAATAAAAACTGTGTCTGAACAGGAATCGAGCTCTCCGTCAAGTCTGTGAAATTGTAGTGCATAATTTGTTCAACTTTTAAGGCCAAATAGGAACCTCACGTGTAGATCTAAGGCTATTTTAAGACAAAGGTGCCGGGGGAGGGGGGTGTTTGGGACAGGGACACAGAAAGCAGATACAGCCCTTTCACGACAATACCTGAGTCAACAGTCGTGTTATAACACAGAGTCTCGCAGGATGCTTGGTGCACGTCAACTCCTCGTCAGCTAAACCCGATATTTTTGGCTACACAGACAGAGAATATGTGAAAAAAGAAAAAAAAAAAAAAAAGAGACAGAGCACAGAAATGACGTGGCTACAACTGAGAAATATTCTGATGAGATTTCCGTATAAATTGCATAAATGACACATCATCGTTTGGCCACAAGATGTAACATACTCCTTTTGTTACAACAGAACTCGATCGGATTTACTGGTTGTGGCATGTGCACAGCCTGTAGTGACATTCAAACCTCCCAAAAGGGGAAAATTAAAAAATGTATTGGACAATATGAAGTACACTACAGAAAAAAAATAAGTCAATGCAGCATATATCAGGCTTATGAGGTACTTCATGAATATATATAGATATATCAACCTTTTTAGAAAAGCTCTTCAAAGTCATATTATTCCTTATAATTCCTATTGATAGCATAAAATACCTCGTCAGTTATTTTACTTTCTGCCCAACCTCAGGTGGGCAATTTTTTTGAGACTGCTTTGAAAGTGCAAAACACAAATACTGATCGTTCTATGCAGCATCTACACGCAAGGTTGCATGATAATTAAAAATTGATTTTTTTTTGTCAAACCTTTATGTTGAAAAGGACTCACAAACCCAATGTTGGGGCCGATGGAGAAGAGAGAGCGATCCGACAAAAGGCACACAAAACGACTACAAACACACTGGATGTTTTCAGTTTAGATTAAATTACAATAAACTGTAGTTAATTTCCACACATATGTACCTTTTTTGTTGAAGTTTACAATGATCTGAGACATTGTAAAGTATGTTCAAATGTGTATATTCCCTTTGTAAATTGTCGCATGCAAAACTATATCTTACACCCTTAACAAAAATGGCGTGGAGTCCGGCTAATCGTAAGAGAAGCGTTTATGAACCAAAAAGAAGACAGGGACATGCGTCCTGATTTTATTGCAGTACTGGGTTAACACGGAAGAGAAATGTAAGCATTTGATCACGTGGAGTGGCTCTATCCAGTATGAAACCTTAATATTTCAACATTCGGGTGAAACAAAAACACAAAAGGCTGGTTCTAAACGTTGAGACATAGTATTGTCCTGCTGACAAAAAGTCCAAAATGTTTATTGAGTGTTGTCTCAACCTGCGTCGAGAGGACAGACTGGTGTAGAGACAAACAAATTACCAACAGTCCACAGCCCACACGCCAACGTTATTGCTGAATATACATCTTTCTGACAAACCTTCACCGCCCTCTACAAAACATTCCTCAATATCGCCGACATTTTACTAGAATATGAACACACTGTCAGAGTGAATAGCAATTACTGTATGATGGCACGTTGGTCGATATATGATCCGGTCATGATTACAGTTTATTTCACCACATGAATGAGTCCTAGATTGTGCTGGGTTGCTTTTTTCACTGTCTTTAGAAAAAAAATGAAGGACTCACATGAAACAATGAGACTCCCAATTCCAAATATTTGGTCCCCTACAATGTAACCAACTACAGCAACCAACCAGTCATACACGATTACTTGGTTTTCCATTTATTAAGGTTAAAGAAAAGAACAGTGCTCTCACACGATATTGGCTTGTCTTGGTTTGGTCACAACAATTTTTGATTTTTGTTACCACTGTTATAAATTAGTGCTAATATTAGCTAGCACCTGACACTGCTCTGAGGTAGTTTTTTTCTAAGTTGGTAAAAAAAAAGCCAAGTCATTCTGAGGACTAGAAATGCTTAGAAAATACAAAAATACCCACATGAGTCTCTGCTGGATGGCATTGGTTTGGTGAAGCTTGATTCAGTTCTCCACAGTTATGGTCAAATGAACTACTACAGCCCCATGCTTAATCCCAACTGTTCACCGGTCGCAGCTGCGTCGTGTTCTGGCTCAGTTGCGGTTGCCAGAGACTATTGGTTCCCATTCCCACCAGATTTCTCTGCTCTGGTATTCGGTCTATTTTTGCCAGAGCAGCTTGTGTCTCTGAATTACCAAAAATTGTCACAAAAGAAAACACAAGGATAAGACGGCATGCTGTGTGCCCTAATTAAAATGAGCTACAGCTACAAAGTATTTACCACATTGACCCTAAATGAGCAGCAAATGTCTATAGCCTTGCTATCATTATGTCACCATCTTAGTTTAGTGTGTTAGCATGCTAACATTTGATAATTAACACTTCATACAACACTAAGTACAGCTGAGGTGGATAGAAATGTCATTAGTTTTGCTTAAGTATTGGACAAATAAAAAATTTAACTCGATAATGGTACATGACGAAAAGTCACCAGAATCATCAGGACTCATTGTCCGGGAACCAAGAATGATTGTATAAAAAAACTTTGTGCCAATCCATTTAGTCGATGTTGAGACATTTTACTAAATAAGTGAAAGCCTACTGCCTGCTGGTGGCACTAGAGGAAAGATCAGGGGATCACCATCAAATAGTTGCTGAGATATTTAAGTCGAGACCAACCTAACCAACATTGATATCCGTACAGCCGCTTTAGCGTTGCTAAAAATGTCCGCAACTCTTAACAACAACGTAAACGTGGCTGCTGAAGAACAGTTTGAAGACGCTTCAAGAACTAAAACGCCAGGGGACACTGAAACCAAGACTAGGCGTGACAACTAAAATGCGGCGTAGCTGCTTGCGGTGGACATGAGGCGTAATGGTTCTTTCCTCGGGTCTCCCAATGCCCCATTTGAATTTTTACTCAATAACTCAGCCATAACAATAATATAGGCAAACTTTAACTGCAAGACCTTGTGGTTACCACACCAGTGTCACATGGCTACAGGTAATTGGGTGGACATTGGCATGATAAAGACTGACTGGCAAGGACAATGTGATGCTTTAGAAAAGTTGTATCTAGGAATTGGAACAGGAAAATTATGTTAGCTGGATCTGAGTGCCGTGTGAAATCATACTTTTTAAATCTGGAAAAAGGGCTGCGTAGAAATACAATCACCAAAAGTTAGAAACACAAGCAACGTTCAAACAAAACCTTAGCTTCTTTGCTTTCAAGTGGCACTGCGCTAATGAGTTAGTGAGCTGAAATCTGTTGGGCAAAGCCAAAAATCTAACGGCAAACAAGATCACACACCAAAGCAACCATCATATATACACAAATAGCTCTTATGTTACAGCACCTCACAAGCATGACGCCAGAACAGAAAAGATGACAAGCCTTTGCACCAGTGTGACACATTTATCTCCTAAAACTACAGTAGCCAACATCCAGAGAAAGACATCTCAGCTGTAGACTTGTATATCTCCTGTAAATCAGTGAAAATATTAACGATATCAGCGGTGATGTGAGCGATATCGAAAATTGATGATATCAAAGAAGAAAACATAATACTTTCTGCAATTATCAAAGTCTTTAAATAGGAGAAATCAGAAAAGAAAAAGAAAAGGCTGTACACAAGAAGCAAACATGCGTATAGATGTACTGGATGGAAAGCCTATACAACATTACAAACCACGCAGGCGCCAAGTACATTCATTGTTATTATTTGGATCTAGGAAAATAGGTTCTACTCTACAAGAGGTTTCTTTATAACAACAATAGTTTCTCTACAAGAGACGGATGAGAGGCAGAGAGGAGAGAGGCTGCTATACAGAGGGTAATGGTTTAGAAATTGATAGAGGTTGAAATTCGGCTTTACTTTACTCCAAGACCATTTAAAAGCAAAAAAGTAAACAGGCCGATCATTAACATTGGAGGAATTTTATCTCAGCTTCTTTCAACATGAAATTCAAAACATTAGCCTACTTACAAAAAGGAAAAACGCAATCAAGAAAATAAGATTAACTGATCGATTAAATTAGCTTATGATATGCCATTTCGTTTACAAACCTGCCATTTCTAGAATGTGCTTTGTCCTAGTTTTGGCCACTCCATAAACAGCCAAACAGAGGTGACGTATCTGAGAAAAGGTCTCCTGTAATGTCATTAGGGTTACCACTGCAGGTGTTATGAATGCCTAACTAAGCACCTGGGGCACCACTAGACTTGTAAATCTGAGCCACATTCATCCAGGCTGGTGTATTCATGTGTTTGTTCCATACACAGTCTTGATTTAGCTCATTATGATCAAGACGATTTATGTAAAAAGGAAAAGCCTCTTCAGAATCTTCATATGTATAAGCCTATGGTGGTGAGTGACGCATAAAAATGCCTTACTTTAAGCACTGTTTTCTATGCATGTTGCAGTCTTAAAAAAAGGGCACAGTAATCATGTCAAACCTTCCTGCGCACGTCATCCTCACACAGCACTTGGCATCCAAATCTTACTGTCCACAGCTAATCAGCTCTTTTCAACACGCTGTCAGTTTGTTTTGCATCAAGCATCTCTCTCACACATCACTGTACAAAGGAAACTCACCCACGCAAGTGGGCAAGTTTCAATCTTTCGTTAATATTTAAAGGCGTATTTCTGAAGGACGACACGCTGAATGCTGGTTGGCTAGGTGGCGTTTCTTTCTGACTGGCAAGTGCACACACTGAGGTTTTCTCTGGCCTGTTAACTGTTTATTTTGAAAAGTCACCAATGCCAACTGCTCCTTTCTAAATAAAGAAGAGGCTGCCAGTCTACCACCTGAAGCTGAAACAGCTACAAAAGTCGAGCCTTATTTAGTGCAAAGACATTGTCAAAATGTTTGAGTTTTATCCCCAGGAAAAGCGATGCCATTCTGATCTGCTATTTTAAGGTGCTGGTAAAGGTAATGTAAAACTCAAGTACAAAGCTATCTCCTAAAAAGACAGCATGACGTTCTGAATTTCAGCACAATATCATTTTAGGACACCCGTTCACTTTCCCTCTTTCTACATAATGTGAGACTGTCCGAGGACATTCACATTTCCATGCAGCCTCAACAGCTGGCCTCCACCTGACATCAGTCTCCACAAAACCCAACCTAAGACTAATGTGTTCTCATCCAGTCACTTATACTTAAATTGAAGATTTCAATGAATGATCGCAAAATGACATGGTTGTGTAGTGCAACTTAACTGATCAAAGGCCTTGCTGAATTTCAGATTGCTTTTCATGTGGACTTCAATATGTGCTTGATTTATTTTTTGTTGAAGGGCCTATGTGTAGGATTTAGTGGCATCTAGTGGCAAAAATGCAGATTGCAACCAACTGAATACCCCTCGCCTAACCCTCCTCTTTAAAGAATGTAGGAGAACCTACAGCGGCAGTGACACTCATGAAAGGCCATCTGTAGAGCCTGTGTTTGGTTTGTCCAATCTGGGCTACTGCAAGAAACATGGCTGTGCAAATGGAAGAGGAGGTGATTATACACTACTAACTTATTTATTGTCTTTCTTGCCAAAAGATCCCTCTAAATCTTACACACTGGTCCTTTAAAGTCACTTGTAAGCTAAAAACAATACAGTCTGACTAACCGCACCAACCAGCGTGTCTTTACAATTCCTCCAAATCAACAATATGCACTTATACCTGATGTGGGCTTTGAGTTTGGTGTTATACTGCTCAGGTGGAAAATCAATCTGTCAGTTCACTGGTGCATATAATAAAAGGAAAAAATAAGGGAAAGCTGTGTGTGTGTGTGTGTGTGAGAGTGAGTGAGTGAGTGAGTGAGTGAGTGAGTGAGTGAGAGAGAGAGAGAGAGAGAGAGAGAGAGAGAATACAAAACACACAGAATTTGGTCGTACAGCTCAACGCTCAAAACCACTATAAGGAAAAAAGAACATTCTCTCTTACCAGTTTGAGTGAAACTATGAAGAAAAAAAAATTACATAAACTGAGAAAGCGCATTCGCCAAGCGTTTTAAAAACCTCAATTGTCAATGCAAGACTCAAACAATGCCAATTAGATAGATAGCAGGGGTAATTATACAGAAATGGCCAGCAGTGTGATGTTACCATAACACTTAAACAGGTAACAAGAGGTAGAACACACGGCCATTTCCATACAATTACACCAGTGTCTCGCAATATGGCCTAGCCTCCCGCTTTGACTGAGGAACACACATCTGTAGAACGTTCTGCTATCAAAAGTGCATCCAAATTTACATGTTGTGAGACCAGCACCGATAAGAACAATGACATCATAACAGTAAATATCAAGTACATGATTTTCAGAATGCCCCACAAACACAGTCAGTCGGATTTCTAGTTGCTTTACAGGTAATGAGTAAAAAGGGTAACACAGAGAATTCGTCAAAGGGAGAGAGAGAAGATCCTCCAGATGATGAGGCATCTTTTTATAATATACAAGTAAGAAGCCTTGTTGACCAGTCCAGTGAGGATTTAAGGTGGTTTACAGTGAAAACTTCTAGCACCTATAATCAAGACGTCCATTTGTGCTTCCACGTTTTTTGAATATTAAATCATGTAAAAGTTGGTAATCTTGTTTGGCTAAGAAAGAATGTGTTATAAAGGATACACCCAATTTTTTTAGGCTATAAAATCTACAATGTTACAAATGACCACATAAATACTTCATCCCGTTAGAAAGGCATGAAGAGGCTTATAAGCACTAATAAACGCTACTAAATGCAACATGCTAAAAAAAAAAAAAAAAAACCTGATTATCTACTTCTACAAATGATCCAAATTCATGTGAGATACCCCACTGCTAAATCTCTTGGTTAAAAATTATGCATAGTTAGAAAATATATACTCCTCCAATCAAGACTATAAGAACATTCGCCAGCTTAACTTACAAGTAGTAAAACTTAGGTGGGATGTTAGGAAATGTCTATAATTATTAGTAAGACTGTAACAGTCTTAGAAGGCAAGAAAATATTTGCATTTTAAAATCTGTATACAAATAGTGTTAATTTAGACTACATGTGGGCCAGTCATTTAAAAAAAATCTCTATAATATTTTCAGCAGCCTCCACTGAAAGCTTATTCAAAATATACCTTATTACCAACATTACTATATAGTATAAAGACTCACAAAAAGTCATTTGCATAAAACCCAAGCTTTTGTGCTGCGACTGCTCCCAGTTCCTGGAGCAAACACGATTTGTTGTTTTGTCTTTTGTTTTTCTTAGGGAATTTCGATCAGTTAAACTCTAAAAATGTTGCAGCTTTCACTCCACTGTACCGAATGCCTGGATATCTAGGCGCCACACAAATAACCCACTCTGACAAAGACACTGCAGAAAACACTATCCTGCTGCTATATACATTAAAACATAGAAGTCGGGTTAATGTGTATAAAGGAAGAAATAAACAATTATCACAAATGCCTAAATGTCTAAAACATGAGTCAGCTACATGCATATTCATTACAAAAATGATTGAAATTAAATTAGACTAAAAAAACAAAAGGGAAAAACAAAAACAAATATAGTTCCCCTCTATGTTGATTTCTACATGATGTGTCTTTTATCAACACGGCTCAGAGTACATTAGAAAGGTGTCCTTATTGGGAACCAGTCCCAATACACTACTTCTTGGCATGGGAATTAGGTTAGTCGTGCAACTCTTTCAGTTCATACTAACAAGAGAGGCAGAGAAGGATAAAATTGCTGTTCATTCAAGACGAACGCTAAAAGCACTCTAGAACAAACTAAGAGTTGGTTTAAAGGTTGATAACAAATCTGATGCAAAGAATTCTTTTAGTAAGTTCACCAGATTTGACATAAAATGGTCATTAGTCATCAAGGACAAATACTGAAATCCCAGCAGATGTGGGGCTAATAATTCATAGTTTTACACAGAAGTGACAACAGAAAGGTCGTCTCAAATGGCACTTATCACATGGTGCCCTATGTGGGGAAAAAAAAAAAAAAAAAAAAAGTAATAATCACACACAACCCTCAATATATTAAGTACTTTTGTCCTGATTGAAGTACCCATTCTGATCAGTGCACTTTGCTTTGATTGGCTGATAAATAATGTTTGTCAGAGGAGCATATCTTTAGTCATATAAACAGTGAACAAGCCCCCTCATCTTTTGATGAATTTGATCCTTCTCCCTTCAAGCACCAAGACCCTAACCATCAATAGACACGGAGAGAAGGAGGTTAAACAGCTTCTTCTAAATTATAAATCACCCCGATGTATAATGATACTGCCCGCTAGTTTAGAAATGGTCGATTTCATCTATCAGTGTACAAACGTTTCTTTTCCTTTCATACTTTGCAACGTATTTCCCTGCAACTAATACAAACACACACTAATGCACAACATGTAAATAAAACCTCTTCCAGCTCAAACTCCAAAAAAGAGGGATTCTTTTGCATCTTACAGTCTAATAGCTGGCTTGGTAGGGGGCTGAAGTACAATTGTAGACATACGGGTAACTGACAGGTCTGTTAGGTAGGGAGATCATGATGTGAAACCACTGTGATGCTATCTACAGCTGACAGTGAGATAGCGAGGGGAAGTGTGTTTCATCAGTCTCACCCAACCCAACCCGGGGTTCTGTGCTCTCAGGCAAAGTACATGGTGCGAAGCGTGTCCTGGTGGATCTGAACGGCCTTGGCCAAGGCCTGTTGGTCACGCCCGTTGCTCTGACCTGATGTATGACTGCCCTCAGCACTGTAACGGTGTGGAAAAAGTGTAAAAAACTGTTGAGGGATTTCAAGAACATTTCATAAGTTCGATTTACACGAATACATTTACAATAAACTGTTCAAAAAAAGTGGCAAACGCAGAAAATGGCTGTGAGTCCTTACCTGTCATGCTCTTTGTCCACCAAGTGATAGCGAGCCCGGAAAGCCACCAAATGAGCGTAGTAAGCTGGTGCTGGGATGGAAACGGACCGGGTGCACCGCACATAGGTGTGGCATAGCTGGTAGGTGAGGACCTGCAGTTCATCTGAAGAGAAGTGGTTGTCGTCCCAGAGCACATGGTAATGAGACGGCCTGCTGGTACCCTGTAAGGGGTGGTAATGGATGACAGGTGTTGCTTTTGTGTCCACGAGGGGAAATAACAGTCTGCTGTTGGAGCTTGTTTTTCACGCACAGTCAAAATCCATTAAACCTGCCCATTACTTTTAATTCCTTATTTCTAGTTCACTACAGTTGATCCTAATTCAGTTCTTACCTGAATGCCAGCGTGACTGCAAAGGTAAAAGTCAAATTCTGATGGGTGAGTGATTTTGGTGTCCACTGTGGTGCCTGCAGGAATGTTGCCACTCTTCCCAACCTGCGAAAATACATACAAAAATGCTTCAGTGAATTAGCATGCTTTTGTCACATTTGGACAACATCCTTTATTTTGTGGGAAACAAAGGCACAACATAAAATCTTATCCTATGCTCAACTTTTGTTTTTATTGAAAAGTCAGTTTCGAGATGTGGGCATGCTGTTACCAAGTAGGGATTTAAATGCTAGTGTACTTAACTACTCGTCACCTGATCAGAGACGTTGCTTGAGAGAGTAAACAAACACCTGCAGCAGCTGGCTTGCTGCCATCAGTGCATGACTGTAGTTTTGGTGCATGACAAACATTTCAAACTTTTTCAACAGCTGTTTCACTTTTAGAACTTTTCTGTTCTCTCTCATTTTTGAGTTAAGGTGGTTACAAACTGCCAAAATTGCCACTCCTACCAATGACACATTACTGACCCTTTCGTTTCTGTCCATACAGAACAGTCTTGTGTGGTGCCTCTTCTGCACGACCACAAAGGTGATACCAGGCTGGTAGTCCTTCTCTAGTTTTATGCAGGCCTCACGGATCGCCAGCAGCTCATGCTGAAGGACCTGCATGTAAAGGTCAAAAGATATGGAAGATTAACTGGTGAAAAGTTTCATAGATGATGAGTGCCTAAACAATAATGTGTGTGTGTGTTGCATGTAAATAATTCTTCTGCATCATAACTGATATATGTAGTATCACCTGGTTGAACTGTCCCTCAGAGATGCCATCGCGGTAGTAAATGATTCTGGTAGGCTTGAAGCGTGTGGACTTGTAGAACTGGATGAGCAGCTCCCTCACCATGGTGGCCAGGTCCTGGATGATGTCCTGACGGTGCTGCTGCACCCGGACTGTAGCGCAGTATCTGCTGGGATGGGCATCCATACTACCAACAACCTGAAAAAAGGAAGTAAAGGAAGTCTTAATAAGTTATGTGTCTTAATTTATTCACATGCACCCTTCTAATAGACAGTTTCCAGCCATGTGTGCTCTCAAGACCAATGTTTCGAGATTAGAACGGTCTCATAAGTTTTGACAAACAAATGTCAAGATATGTAACTTGTAAAACACAATGCCCAAATAAATGTAGATTTATACCTGTAAAACTGTATCTATAATTTTTAACTCATATATCGTCATTTGTATGTCAACTTATCATTTATCAATGGAAATATATCTCCACCTATTCGCGTGGATCCTTTTAAAACTGTTCTTCACCACCATCTACTGGAAAGCCGTCTTCTCCACATATATAAGTTTATAAGTTCATCTCAAAGTAGAATTATTCATTAATGCTGTATTAACTGATTTTGGGCTACTAGAGGTAGAAGTTAAAACAAGCTGACAGACACACAGCTACTATCATCTCACCGACTTGTCAAATTGTTCTGGCTAATGTGTTTGCCGATTTTCACATCCAGCACACAGAGGCTCCATTACATTTTTCCAATGTCTGCGAGCACCTTTTGCTAGGTAGGTAGCATGGAATAAAACCAAAACGATGAGATGAAAGATGGTTTAGAGATGCAGAGATGATTGGTGATTGTGGCACCCCATTTAATTATTTTGTGAAGGGTAAACTTTCATTGTGTTGCGATGTTACTAACAGCAGCTATGGAAGGCTTTTTCCCATCTCCTGCAGGCGGATGGGTCACATCTGCACCAAGGAAGATCACTGGCTGCTGGAACACCAACGGCCTGGAATAAAAACGTGTAGTGTAGATACAGGTGAAAATCAGCACAAACATTTTGAATATCAGTTGATAGGTGTCAGATTTCCAAGCTATACACATTGATTAATTTCATTAGTATCTTCACTAACCTGCCCTGTGGGAGGAGGATGTTATTGACACCGCCCAGCTTGACGTTGATCTTGAGACAGAGGTTGGAGAGGGTCTGAGGTGTTGTCTTTTGAACATTCTTCACCTGCACACACTGTGTGGCCATGCCAAGTACCGTGTCCCCGACACGTTTCACCTCAGCTACAAAACACATCAGGACAATAAGATGATATCAGTTAATTAAACATAATGTTGATGTTTTTTAGTTTTGACTCCCTGTTCTGGTGCACCACATCAAGTGCACACAGGTACACTGACCAACCGCCATGTGGTACTGGAGGCAACAAAAAGTGTAATATAAATGCATTTTCTATACAGGGTTAAATACTTTGTTTTGGTTGTTGTGTACAAAGGGGATGGGATCACTGATGTTTAAATGAGTTGGGAAGTGAAGGGGAGAGTGGGTAGGAAGAATCATAGAGAGAATGTATTCCCGGTAATTCCTTTCGGGTTATTTACTAAAGCAGAAATATAAACAGTAAAACTTGCTCAGCAGACACTGAAGCAGCAGGCATGTTCAGATATACCAGCACAACTGCCAGAGTTTCCAATGGAACACTCTCAATCACACAAATACTCACTGATTTGGACAAGTGTTTGTTTAAAGCAACGCCTTGCCATGGCAACAAGATAATTTAGTTTAAACAACTAGGGTTTATGATGTCAATTAGCAGGACGCTTCTGTTTTAACAACTAAAACTGACCCAAATTGCATGCTGTCATGGTATTATTATTTAGTCAAATGCTATTTATGTTTGCCTTTAAGAAAGACACACTGATTTCATTCCAAAAAATAGATAAATATAAATCACGTCCCCCATGAAAGACGCAAGAACAACAGAACGTATGAGTGGTGTGTGATATTGACAAAAAATCTAGATATTTTCTGCAACGTGAAGAGACGCTACGCGTGAGACCGAATGGACCCGGGTCTAAATTTAGTTCTAGGGTTTTTATTTTACCCCCCAAAAAGTCCCTGCCTTTCTGACTACTAGCTTGGAGAATGTCGGCTGTTTTTCTACAACTGCTCCTCTCTTTTCACACCGTTGTTTGCAAATCAATAAATCACAGTCAGATGGCACACAAGTCCTCTGACACTCAGACACAGATGTGAGTTCTGCAATTCTTTTGTCAGCTGGAAAACTTTGAATAACTGTCGCGATTTTATTTTTGTGTTGCTTTCTCTGTGCTGGAGTTATTTTAACAACTTGATGGCTTTATCCAGCTTGTTATTAAATATCTAACAATCTTTATCGCGCGTCTCTTCATTATACTCCCACACAAAAAAGCTGTTTTTAATGGCAAGCATAGTCTGTAGTTTTTCATAATCTTCAAATCAAATTCATAGATTTTGCTCATGGATAGTGGTTAATAAATGATGCCTGTGCATTGCTTTGTACAGCGTATAGGCCTACAGCCTAGGTCAGGTGGTTAATTTGCCTAATCTTCGCAGGTCTTTAGACCACTGTGGAAACACACACAAACAATGAGCATAACAAAAATTTTTAGTTCCTTGAAAAGAGATCCGGGGACTTAAAAGTCCTCGGTACTTTTGGTGGACATACGGCCATCATAGACAGCTGACTCCCAAAGCTTTTCATATTCTTGGTATTCCATGAGGTGGTTAGTTTGTGGTCTTTAACGGCAACCGATTTTTGACATAGTTTGCAGATTAACGTCTTTTGAGCAACAAACAAAGACTGATTCACTTCTAGCGATTCAATCTTACAACGCAGATTGCGAGGCTGGTGCTGTCAGTGTTTTATCTCCTGGCGCTGTTTCTTCACTCATTTTTAACTTCAGACACAAATTTTTTGGCAGCTATTGCTTGTTTAACTGTAGCTCATGTATCCTGTATGCATGAAACATTAAGGTGTTTTTAACTGCAAAGTGAGTGACGTACACGTACATGCGAGTCGCACACCCCTAATGAGTGGATTACTCACCGTAGACGGGCGTCTTCCCCGGTAGGATGACAACCACCAGCTGGAGGCCCTGGTAGGTGTACTTGAGGTGCCTGAACATGGGCTCCACGCTGTCCGCTCCCTGGGCGTACTTACAGAAGCAAGGTTGACCCTGGATGGGCATCCCTGCATCTCTAGAGATCTTCCTCAGCTGATCTGTGAATGCTCTGAGACAGGTGAGAACCGTCTTTATCCACAGCTCAGTGAGGTTTAGCGGTTGCAAGAGAAAGCAATAGCAAGTGCAGGGATCAACACAAGCAATGCACGTTGGCCCAGGCCCAATAAAAATGTAACGACAGTGGCTCTATCTACATCATAAGTCCGCTGCCTCTCTGCCTACGTCCTACGATGTCTCCAAAGGCAATATTGTAACTGTTGGTTGTCTCAGCTGATTTATGCAGTTTGCTGATGAATAGATAACATTACTTGTTGCTGAAATAACCACTAACTGCGGCTAACTAGCTGCCGACTAATTACCTCAGTTAGCCGTGCAACTAGTGGTCATAGCCGACTCTGCCTGCACTGGGAGCTCAGAGCACCAGGGGAGTGTTAGTGTTTACACCTCAACTCAAGCACCGGAGGTTTTCAGGCCAGGGGCGGGGGGACCCAGCAGGGAATGATGATGGGGAGTAGAACCGGATCCGGGAGAGTGGGCAACAAAACCGCGCTCAGCAGCCTCCCAGTGAACGCAGCCTGAACAGGACCGAACACAGCCTCAAAGACCAATGGAGAATATAGCACTGAGGTGATTTACAGAGTTTCTTGATGGACAAAGCTTTACTTTTTGCTAAACCGTTAACTTCTGCTAATTGTATTGGTCTGTATCTGTAGTTAGTTAGCTCGGTTAGCCGTGCAGCTAACAATACTATTAGCTGACTCAGGCAAGGATTATACTTTACGCGTCCGCGAGGGTCCGCGTGATGAATAAATCGTCATCAGAGGGGGTACGCGTGGGGACCAGGGCAACAACCAATCTACTGCGCATGTGTGGAACGTGTTCGCCAAGCTGACCGCTGAAAGTAGTATAAACAGAAATAGTCCGCGTCCGCGGGGTCTGCAGCTGTCCGTGTCCACGTCCGTTCCCGAGTATATTCGAGGCTTTAGCCTTGTCAAACTGGCCTCTGTCGGTCTCGGAGGCTGTGTTCGGTCATGGTCTGCCCGCTGTGTTCACTCTCTGGGGAATGTTACGTTGGACACTGAAGTGGCAGGCAAACATCAAAGCAAAATAAAGAAGTTGTGCAGTAGTGAACTGCTTAAAACTTGTGTAAATACTAATATTGCTTGAGCTACGTTGTGTATCGTGCCTTGAGTGTTAAATACTATGAAAAATTATGAAGAACATTATGTATATATAACATTATGTTTACACTGAACCACAATGTATCTAAAAAAGAAAATCCTGAAACCCAGATACAATGGTACCTATTAGTATGTACATACTCAACATGCACGCCCCCCCAACATGCACGTGAAACAGCTGTTGAGACATACATTTGCAATATGCTGGAGCACTTCACTTACTTGAGCAGGAGTTCAGTGCACTGCCTCTGTGGTGCAAAGCAGGCGATTGCCCACACTTTGATCTCAATGCCAGTGTGGAACTGCTTGTTCCTCATGTCCCATACTCCCTGGATTGGTGTGGCTATTGCTTTATTCTGCAAATTGTGATGACAGCATCTTTTATTAGTGGTAGTCACTGGTCACAAGATTAAGCTATTCCGAAAAAAAACTTCATACCAAGAACAACTGCGTTGCAGCTACATGCATGAAACGTACATTAACTCAAGGCCACCATCAACACATCCAAACCGGTGATCAACATACCCTGCCTCCATACAGAATGGAAGGTGCTTGTAAGACGCGGCCGTTTACTTCCGTCATCTCATCCCTAACCATCACTCCAAATTCACGAACGTAAGGGTCGATGTTGAAGTTGGCACTTCTCATCTGGGAAAAACAAAACAATACAAAACAAAAAACACAGCAGTTGAATTAAATGTGAATATCTCAAACTGTCACTGCAAACTTGCCTGCAAAGAATTTTTAAAAATCCCAAATGTAGTCATGATATATAAGGCAAATGTAACAAAACTGTACATATTTGTACACTACATTGTTGTAGTTTTTGTTTTGCCTTTCTTTGATAGTGACGGCTACAAAAATAAGACAGGAAAGGCAGGAGAGGGAGAAGGGATGACATGCAGCAAATACCCGGCTGCTGCATCAAGGTCTCAAGCCTTAATGGAATGTTTACAGTTTCTCACTAAAAACATAATCTCAATTTAAAAACATCAATAAATATCACTAATACTTATTTCTACCTACTGTTACTTTATAAACAGAATTCTCAATTGGTGTTAATCTGCATCCAGTATATACTCACTGGCCAATTTATTAGGTACACCGCACTAGTACTGGCCCTTTTTGACTTCAGAACTGCCTTATTTCTTCAAGGCGTAATTTCAACAAGGTGTTGGAAACATTCCTCAGAGACTTTGGTCCATATTGACATGATGGCATCACACACTTGCAGCAGATTCGTCGGCTTCACATCCGTGACACACCACGTTCAAAGTCACTTTAATCCCCTTTCTTCCCCATTCTGATGCTCTGTTTGAACTTCAGCAAGTGGTCTTGACCACATGTACGTACCTAAATGCATTGAGCTGCTGCCATGTGATTGGCTGATTAGCTATTTGTGCTAACAAGTAATTGAACAGGTGTACCTAATAAACTGGCCGGTGAGTGTATATCGTGTGTATATTACCACTTATAATTGTAGCTATGGTAGGTGCGTATGGAACCAGCCAATTATGACCAACGTCATGTACCCTCGACAAAAGCCAATCAGCAAACACCACTGAGCCTGTGCTTGGTGCCCAACTTAAAATTTGGCAGCAAGGGCAGGAACCTCTTCTTATCTCACCTGAACAGTCAATTAAAGCCTATTTTTTAAAATAGGTCAAGAAACAGGCCATGCTGCTTCCTTTTTCTTGAACCCTGACACGACTGTCAACAAGACTACGCACAACTGGCATGTGCGCATGTTTCAAAGTTCTCCGTTGTGGTGAGTTATGTGTCAGGAGCCGGCATCAATGTTGCAGGGATTTGTTGTTCTTTGGGGGTAGTGTTTCCAGCATTGGCCTGACTAGGCCAGTGAGCTTGAGTTCACCATCTTGATACGGTATTACTGATGAATCTTGGCATGTAGCGGATGGCGCAATGTAAACTCTTTTCCTATTTACTTGCATTATTTCAGAAATAGTGACAAACTGGTTTAAGGTTTGAGATTAACGGTCTTCAGGCACTGGTCATCTGAGTTGCATTCAGTAAATATTTATCTTACAATGACTTACCAATTTACTAATCTCGTCCTGACGGTCTGGTGCCGATCGGGCAGTGGCACGGATCATAGTGGAGGTCTGATTGTCTGTCAGCTTTTTGATGCAACGCTGTCCTGCCACTATGTTACACACCTGGAGTGGACACGCATGACACAAAACAGGTAAAAAAAAAGGAAAATACTGATGGTGATAGTTAACTTTTTAAAAGGCAAATAAGTAAAAGAGGTTGGTGGGATTCACCTCTAGAGGTAGGTAGGTGTGCTTCTGCTCCTGTCCCACCTGTAGACACGGGAGGTGGGGGTATCTCAGGATGAGCTTGTACTTGTCTTTGAAGTACTGTGCTACTGTGCATTCAATAGTCTGGCCGTTCTCCTGCTGTAGGGGGAACCTGAGGGAAGCACACACCAGAAAAATACAGCTGATCTGTGTCACAGGGGGCAGTATAAATGTGTGTTTTGCTATTGTTGTGCATGGGGTTGGGTGGATAGAAAGAAAATATGAAAAATGTTCACCTGTAAACATGGCATTGTGTTTATTGTTTCCTAACACTTTCAACCAATGAAACTTTATTAAAAAAAAAATCACGTTTTACACCAGTCTGTCCTAATTTTTTAGCATCAGCAAGTCATCTTCACCAAAATGCCATGTTTTGTTAAGTTATAAAAAGTCTATATACAGGGTACCACCAGGATTCACCAATTTAAATTTAATACTTTTTAAGACCTTTTTAATACCAACAAGGATGAAATTTAAGACCAACTTTAAAATTTCAATATTAAAAAATCTTCATTTTTTAATACATAATAGCTTTTTCAGGTGTGTTACTCTGGTCACATAAAATAAATACAATTTGTCGCACTAAGAACTATGGTGTGAAACCAAAAATACAAAATAAATAGTGCAGTATGAGTTGTTACAATTAGTTACACCTTGGCTAGATACGGTAATGTAATATAATATGCCAATTGCTTCTGTGATCATTCATCCTGTTCTGTTTTTGCATCTAAAGGCTGATTGAAATATAGTGCTGCTGACCAGCTACTGTTAGCTTGTCAGTAGCACGTCAGAGACATTTCGTTTTCTTTCCCAACAACTGACTGATTCATGCCAGAGCTGGGTGCCAGAGCTTTTGCACCGCGAACACTCCACAGTCCAGAGCATAAAGCTTAACACTGACGTAAACAGTAAAGTTACCTGTACTGCTGGATAACATTCCAAGTCACACTAAACGGAGTAAATTGTAAAAAAAAAAAAATCAAACAGAAAAATTATTTATTCATGATGTTTCGGCATTTATTTAATCCTACGAAAGGACAAGAACAAATTTAATGAAATTTAATACATTTAAGCCCTTGTTTTTAGAAAATGAAATTTAATTATTTTTTATACTTTTAAGAACCCGTGAGTACCCTGTATTTATGCCTTCATATTCCAGTGTGCAATATGTTACATGCATTCATTATATGCATATATTTCATGTAACATTTACTGTTGCTGGACTGCAGATTGTATACTTCAACAACAGTACAGTTAACAATAATATAACATGAACAAAGATGACACAGAAGAGCTTTCTTACGTTTGGTGGCTGGCTGGTCTTCTGGTCACATTGCACACTCTGTACTTCCTCTTCATCTGCCCACAGTGAGTGATCTCCACCTTCAGGCCTGTGTGGAGGTTACACGATAACAAAGTTTTAAAAAACACCCCAAAACTGATATAATATCATTGCAGATTTTGAATGGCCATGTAATGAAAAAACATGGTTCATAATTCTTTACATGACAAAAGGGACAAACGAATGTTTAAATTGTTCAAGTATACTAAACTGAACACTGAATGAGGTTAGGTCGATAGGCATTATGGCTTATAAATAACATCTCGATATCTTTAGGCTATTCCACGATATATGATGTATATCTTGATATATACCAAAATAACAAACTCTCAAATAGTGGCTGAGGCGCTCATTTCTCTCACCTGAAGAGGTCACAGGATACCAGGCCTTTATTTTGAAGTAGGTTAAGAAACAGGACTTTATTTCTAACATCTTCTGTTTAATAGTATATTTTATAATGTTTTTAGTATGAAGCCTCCTTGTTTTTTTCTGATTTGCTCCAGTATTGCCTTGTTGAAGTTACTGCATTATGCGGTTAATACTGGTACAGCCTGCTTCAGTAGCAATCGTTTTGTGATATAATTTGCTGGGGATATTAGTTTGTTTCACATCTGCCCTCCAGAAACTGAACCACCTCCATATGATCGATCCATTATTATCGTTTTCTGGAAGTGAACTCAAGACATTGATGGTTAAAACGTTTGGGGAGTCTGTGGCTGTGTGGGAGAAAGAGCGTGAGTCTCTTGCAGCTAAACACTGCAGCTAAGTACTGCCTTTCAATGGAGAAATACACTGCTCAAAAAACATAAAGACACAAACAACACAATGTAACTCCAAGTCAATCACACTCCTGTGATCAAACTGTCCACTTAGGAAGCAACACTGATTGACAATCAATTTCACATGCTGTTGTGCAAATGGAATAGACAACAGGTGGACATTATAGGCAATTAGCAAGACACCCCCAATAAAGGAGCGGTTCTGCAGGTGGTGACCACAGACCACTTCTCAGTTCCTGTGCTTCTTGGCTGATGTTTTGGTCACTTTTGAATGCTGGCGGTGCTTTCACTCTAGTGGTAGCATGAGACGGAGTCTACAACCCACACAAGTGGCTCAGATAGTCCCGAGCTGTGGCAGGAAGGTTTGCTGGGTCTGTCAGCGTAGTGTCCAGAGCATGGAGGCGTTACCAGGAGACAGGCCAGTACATCAGGAGGCCGTAGGAAGGCAACAACCCAGCAGCAGGACCGCTACCTCCACCTTTGTACAAGGAGGAGTAGGAGGAGCACTGCCAGAGCCCTGCAAAATGACCTCCAGCAGGCCACAAATGTGCATGTGTCTGCTCAAACGGTCAGAAACAGACTCCGTGAGGGTGGTATGAGGGCCCGGCGTCCACAGGTGGGGGTTGTGCTTAGAGCCCAACACCGTGCAGGACGTTTGGCATTTGCCAGAGAACACCAAGATTGGCAAATTCGCCGTGCTCTTTACAGATGAAAGCAGGTTCACACTGAGCACATGTGACAGACGTGACAGAGTCTGGAGACGCTGTGGAGAACGTTCTGCTGCCTGCAACATCCTCCAGCATGACCGGTTTGGCGGTGGGTCAGTAATGGTGTGGGGTGGCATTTCTTTGGGGGGCCGCACAGCCCTCCATGTGCTCGCCAGAGGTAGCCTGACTGCCATTAGGTACCGAGATGAGATCCTCAGACCCCTTGTGAGACCATATGCTGGTGCGGTTGGCCCTGGGTTCCTCCTAATTCAAGACAATGCTAGACCTCATGTGGCTGGAGTGTGTCAGCATTTCCTGCAAGAGGAAGGCATTGATGCTATGGACTGGCCCGCCTGTTCCCCAGACCTGAATCCAATTGAGAACCTGGGACATCATGTCTCGCACCATCCACCAACGCCACGTTGCACAACAGACTGTCCAGGAGTTGGTGGATGCTTTAGTCCAGGTCTGGGAGGAGATCCCTCAGGAGACCACCGCCACCTCATCAGGAGCATGCCCAGGCATTGTAGGGAGATCATACAGGCATGTGGAGGCCACACACACTACTCAGCCTCATTGTGACTTGTTTTAAGGACTTTACATCAAAGTTGGATCGGCCTAGTGTGGTTTTCCACTTTGATTTTGAGTGTGACCCCAAATCCAGACCTCCATAGGTTGATAAATTTGATTTCCATTGATAATTTTTGTGTGATTTTGTTGTCAGCAAATTCAACTATGTAAAGAAAGGAGTATTTAATGAGATTATTTCATTCATTCAGATCTAGGATGTTATTTTAGTGTTCCCTTTATTTTTTTGAGCAGTGTATATTACTAAAATGCATAACTTGAATATGACAATATGGTCATCTCTATATCACTCATTAATTGATATTGGAATATATTTGCTATATTCAATATATCACCCAGCCCTCAATCATGTCTAAAATATTAATTGTAAATAGATTTAGAATCTGAATCAAATAAAATTCTCACACTTATTATAAATATATTTCATCAAGAAATAACCCAAAATAAAAACTTGACGAGCTCCGGTTAGCTCCAGAGTTTGACCTACCTTTAATTTCTTTTGTAAATTTCACTCGTTGTGAGTCTGTTAAGGGCTTCTGTTGTTCTTCAATGCTTTTGAAATCCAAGACCTCACACATGAACTCAATTACAGGCTGGGCTTTGTAGAATGCAGTGGCCGAGACTGCAAACATAACAAGCACACAGAGATGAGATTCACAGAAACAACTATACGTCACACACCTTCAAATCAATGTGAAAATTACCATCGATGTTGAGCATCATTTTCCAAAGGGAAGGCCTGACAGACTGATGGAAGCCAAACCAGACCTCTCTGCCACCACCGAGGGGGTTCGAACATCCCTCTGAGGGTGTGAAGAAAGAGCGCCCCACTGGGGTATACCTGTAACAGAGGACAGTCAGCCGGGAAACCTGATGAACACATTCTGAAAAACAGGAGCTGTTCATCAAACTGGTTAAAACACCATTAGTAAAGACACAGAAAGAAAAAGAGATCGGTGATACAGGGTACATAAAGATCAGTATTTCCCCAGAATTACAGTAGTTGTGTTTCCATCAAAGTATTTTTATGGACATTCTGAAGTATCGCATTAGACAAGGTTGATGGAAACGGCAAAATCTGACATTTACTAGCAGCTAAGTACAGCGTGCTAACCTCAACAACCCAGCTGTATTCTAACGTTAACGCTAACGTCTCCAACATGCTTGCTGATAACTTATTTGCAGGTGGGTCTCTGGGACTGACAGTATTGTGTTAAGAACATAGACCAACTTATCAGAGTTAACTTAAATGCATTAGTTTCTCTACAAGTTGATCATCACACCATACTAGGGTTGGGTCATTATGACACATTCTGGCAAATTAAAAAGTACATTAGCAACATATGCCTACTGTACTAAATCCAATTTGTATTGCATTAGTAAAAAGCAATATGACCATGTGATTAACATATTATGTTTGTTTAGGTGAGGGATATTTAATTAAAATGTAAAGAGGTCCAGTTAGACAAACTTTCCCTCAAGCAAAGGTCTCATATAATCATAATGTCCAACTTGCGTTATGATTGTTATATATATCCAAGTAGACTAGTAGCAATATGTCTCTAGTCAACAACTGACAGTCAAATCAAAAAAATAAAGTACAACTCAGTAATATACTTTTCTCCTGACTCACTTATTTCTTAGTCGTCCCTCGTCTTGTCCGTGTGTGGGTATGTAGCTCGCTCACTGAATGCAAAGACTTGATTGGCTGAGTAACATCACGTGAGATGATTTACAATAGCACGCAACTGGTTTGAGAGTTTAAACGCACCATCAAAATGTAATAATTTTCAATAATTCATCAGTTATATGTCAAAGGCAGAATGGCGTCTCTGCCCGAACTCGGACCACAATCTGCCTATCAGTGAGTTTGGCTTTAGAAGAAGAAAAGTTAGGCTGAATTTAACTTAATAGAAGGACCTTTATTGCCAAGTAGTGTTTTACACATACGAAGAATTTGCTATGGTGATACACATAGACAAACATACAGTAACATCAAACAGGTTTGAGGATGTTTTATGATCAGCCCAACCCTACACCAAACAAAGGTAACCCAATCTCTGCCTGAAAGTATGGTAATGAATTAAGTGAAAAACAGGTTGTACACTTTTCTATCATGCTTTGTTTATTCCTTTACCACCCTGATTGCCTTTATTAGGGTGGTAAATGACTTTGGTTTCTTTTTATTTGAATACAAATGGAAATCACTCATTTTGTGCAACCACAATTTCACTTAGGTCAATGGACTTGCATTGCAAATTGTGACTTTGCAGACTGACTCTGCACCTCACACCATGTTGAATGCTTTAAGAATGATCAGCAAAGATGTAAAGTATATGCAATTTGTAATTGACCCTTCGCTAAGCACCGCCCCCCTTAGTTACTGTTGCTAAGTCTGACAAACCGTCGGCGCTGCCACAGTCTATTACTGCACTCCGCAGCCATGAAAGTATCGGACCTCAGTTATAGCAAGTCCTATACTGCGCTGTGATTGGTCAGCAATGTATTCAGGGCGTGGCTTAGTGAAGGGTCCTCCATCTGTCATTTGAAAACAACCAGCATAATGTAGTCATGCATTTATAACAAGATTCATTTTATGCCAGAAACCCCCACCTCATAGAGGGCAAATGTCTCATGACCACATCCAAGGCTTGGACAGTCTCAAAGGGGACACTGGGTAGCCGTCCTGATAGCGCCTCATGCAGAGCTTGCAGGCTGACGCAGGACACCCACTTGATGGATACTTTGAAGCTGCGGTCTTTGCCTTCACCAGGAATGGTTACCTCAAGCTCCACCTGTGTGGCGGTGGGCAAGAAAAGGAAAAGACAGAGGCAATGCTTTGATATTTGAAGACCAAACATTTTTTAAACAAATGTCTATGCAATATCTCCAGAAGTGGAGATTTTATTGTTGCAGGTGGTCCTGAAAAATACATACTTTGTCTCTGCCTATAGGCAAGGGCATGGCAGTGTAGAGATTCTTCCTCCCGTCATACACCGGCTTTCGATCACCAAAGATTTGTGTTTTAAAGTGCTGGACCATGTGCTCTACAATTTCACTGAGAAAAAAAATTAAACAAATAAATGATCACAATGCCTGGTACTTTCCACTAACTCATCTACCACATGCTGCTGATGAAGTCTACACATGTAGGTACCGATTGACCCTCCTGGGGCATTTCTCGGGCTTGATGTCGATGTCATAATGGTAGACCTCCAGTTTAGGGATTTCCATCTCGAAGAAGTTGGCCTGGAGCTTGATTGTCCTGCCCATGGTGCCGAAGTCCGGCCGTGATGGTGGCTTGAACACATATTCTGGCACTGGGGAAGATGGGGGGTCTAAAACAGGGGGGTCAAATGTAGGAAAGGGACATGGTGCATAATTAGACAGACATAAGAAAAAAAATCTTTTTATCCCAATTAGTACTTTTTGTTCACATAAATAAAATTGTTATTTTCACACATATAACTGAAGAGTGTCACTAACAGAAAAAATATAGTGTGTTTCTCAGCTGATCATAATAGAAATTAAGTTGGTTTTACTCCTGAGTCAACAAACAGATTTTTTGACAACATGTGCTATTATGGGATACCATAACCTGTTATATTCGTTAAAAAATCCCAATTTTGAATGACAGAAGTTATTATATCTAAGTGGTAAATTGTGTAACCTTGTAAAGCAAAATTGTTACCATGAGCCTTAAAGGGCATTTTGTTAAGTGGGCGGCGTCAATGGACCAAATGACTCGCCAAGCAATTGGGTCAAACTCATACAACTGTCATCTCATGGCAGCTGTGTGAGTGCTCTGTTCTCGTGAGACCTTGGGAATGGGAACCATTCCTACATCTTGTTGGCCAGAGAAGGCACTTGGAGGGCAGTCTTAATCTATGTTTCCTCATTTAATATAAAGGAAAAGTGACAGTTGTCAAAGTTCTGCTGAAATTAGTTTCTAAATAAATCTGAGGTGACACATAAGCACGCAGTTACAGAATCAAGTCTCCTTTTACATCTGCAGCACCTAGCTTTGTTAGTTGTTCAAGCGATTTGTAAATATTAAGAAGCATTGAGTCAAGTCATCTTCTAACACCCTGCCACTCAGCTGGAGGACTCATTTAATGTAGATATTAATCTGGAATATATGTTCTTAGAATTGACCTTGTGACTTGGCTAGCATGAATGAGCCTAGCAAAACTCAACCTGTCTGCAATTTATAAGCAATTTGAGTATTTACACTCTGTTCTTCTTATGCCCTTAATTTTTTTGAGGTGTTCTCCATTCTTTGTCTTGGAGAAGATTGCACTATCACTGGTAGGCATGCTGAACCAAGAAGCTCCATATACGCAACACTCTCCATTCCCCTCAGTGCCTTATCTTGGTGCTCCAGCTCTGTCCATTCAAACAGAATAACACCCATAATACCTAGTAATATATGGTGGATAGTAGTGACTAACCTTCAATGTGTAAAAGTGCACCGCCATTCAGAGCACCAAATGAGGTGCATTTAGAAGACACTGACTGTCTATCTCCCCTATAGCGTCAAATCCCTATAGCCCATTTCCTGGACAATTTCATTATTCAGTCAGAAGGTTAAGTCGTATGTCAGATGCGTACTGTAAAGCTTGCAGGATGTAAAAAACAAAGCACCATGATGCCTTTTACACTGTACCAATGTCGTGGCCAGTTTAAGGCTTTAAAGCCCAAATATGGGAAAAGCTTACCAGAGCCTGTTGACCCAGAGGAACGGGGTCCCTCAAGCACCTCAGCAGCTACAGAGGACAAAAAGGACATGTTGTGAATGCTCAACAATCCACTTGATCTGATACAAACAGTACTCAAATATAGAGGGGTGAAAAGGTATATCAACCAAGAAAGGAGAAATCTAGCTTACTGCTTAACAAGTTCACCCTTTTTTAGTTAATTAGTTAGTTAATTCTTTATGTAGCAAGTGGCAAGAAGAGGCAAAGCGCAGGGTGCTAATCCTCTTTACTTGTACATTTCCACTGCAAACACTTGCTTCATTTCAGTATGTCTTGCTCCCTTATCACTTCCACAATGCCATCCTACACAATCAAGGACAACTTTTTTTTTTTAAAGAACTCTTATCAATATGCACACATAAGGAGTCAAGCAAGCTGGCAATCTAACTCTGCTGAAGCCACCCACTCTCCTGGAAACTGCCCAATGCTAAAAGCCAATTCATCTTTTAGTACTATAAAGAGAACATAGATGCATTATGTTTGAGAAAATACAGTATAGTGTTGCTATTTTTAAGTTGTTCAGGAAAAAAGAGCCAATGATTGAGAGAAAAACCATATGCGACAAGCAATTGCTACAATATTCTAACAAACTTTGTGTTCTTGCCAAATGAGTCTCAACTGTTACACTGTAACTGTATACATCCTCAGTCAAACTTAATATACATAACTATCGTTACACATTAAAATTCACAATAACAAAGTCCGTGTTAAATTGGCAGAGGAATTTGATGACGTCGGGAAATTTATAACGTGGGCAAAAGCGATGTAACGTAATTAAATGTTCCAAATTTAAGTTGGATACTGTTAGCTAACCATGGCTAAGATTGATGATGAGATTAGATAGCATGGCCGGCCGCTAAATGTTGCTATTACTATGTGCTTTGTTTTGTACTTCGAGGCACTCAAAACGATGATCAGTGCTTATAACTGTGTGACTTTTTGAGAAAAATATACGCCCATCGGAACCACTACGTGAAATAATATTTTGACGCTAACTAACAACAACTTCGGCAACGAGTTACCGCTGAAGCTAACTTGGCTAACAGCAGCTTCTTGTTGTTGCACGCTAGCTAAGCTTGCCTCTCCTACTAATGCCTCCACTTAAGACTGGGACGACATGTTCTTGATCAAAGCATTTGTTGTGTTTTATAATAACTAGCTAAATGAAACAGGAATCGAGACTATGTTCCTGCAATGTAGCAGCAAAATGCTGCAACTAGTGTGTTATTTTTTGCTAGCTGCATCGCTGAGCCGATGCTAACGTTAGCTGCACCACTTACCTCCAGCAGAGGAATACATTTTGTCGACTTTTAAGCGTGTGTCGTGGACGTACAGATACTCCACTTTATTTTGGCCAAATTCCACCTAAACTCATACGTGGTCGAAAAGTATGTATATCTACAAGAGCGACAGAGGAAGCCCAGTTCGGAAATAAAGATATTTAGTTAGCCAAGTGGTAAATATTTGGAGTGTCTCATCCTCGGCACAGCCCCATCCCCCCAACACACAAAACGGGAGACGAGAGAAAAGATAGCACAGAAAAGACCCACACAGGGCAAGAGTGTTCCCTCCCATCTACTTCCGTATTTGGCCACTTCCCGTTAAGCAGCCCAGACCTTCTTATTTCTAAATTTGTATTATTTAACAGTAATCTGAGCTGTTTAAAAAACTAATATCCGTTCACATCTATTGAAGCTTGACACGTCTGTAAATATTACAACTGGTACAGTTTAGATGTTCTGACACATTCATGCAAGAGCAAATATTTCATGTCACTGTTGGTCAATAAAACATTTTTTAAACTAAAGTTGCAGAAAATATTTGGCAATCCACTGTGAGGCATATGATATACAACTTTTAAAATTGCAATGAAAATGCAATTGGACTCGTAGAAAACAGGAGTTTATAAAAATTATTCCTAGGGACGATTCAGTAATCACTGGATATTAGTAGGGACCATCTCTACTACACTGTGCGCCCTTGTATTCATGATTTTATCTCATTGGCTAGTGTTTTAATCCTAGACACGCTCTGTGGACCAACGATTTGTGTAGCTGTTAACAGGAGGGGAACTATCTTGCTGGTTGAACCCTTCAGTGATGTCAGACGCAGGCTGCGCGCTCTCAGCCTTGACCCGTATTCAAATCCAACAACCACATGAAAGTACTCTTTTTCTATATAAAACTAACCATGGCCATATATCCTGTAGCTAACAATATTGTCATGGTTTTAGAAAATAAGAACCACAAACCGAGTTGATAAAAACTTGTTAGAAAGCAAGACACCACAGGAAGAAATCCGTGGCGGTGATCGGGGGGGGGGGGAGTATTTCCGGGGTACCAGACTCGGGTAAGCTAATATAAAAGTAATTAAACAGTCCCCGAACACCTGGGCATGTTATTTACTAGTTCAGCCAGTGATTTTAGAAACGCATAACAATGTGTGCAAAAGGTTCAAATAGGCAGAGTAGAAAAACACTGGGATGTAGACCCGGTATATTTATAACATGTATATAATTACTTACTTCATATTTCTAGTATTTTTTTTACCTACTATGTTTATTGTTATGCACCTGAATGCCAAAGCAAATTCTTCTGTACGTGCATGTGTAAACCTACCTGGCAATAAAGTTGATTCTGATTTTTTTTATTATTATTATTATAAGCTAATAGGTCCAGTTTACAATAAAAGCACGGGCCTTAAAGTGAAATATGCTACACACATAGGATTTGAATGGTAGCCTACATTTTCAAAACACTTTTAATGTCTATCTATCTATCTATCTATTGTAGTAGTAGCCTAGTAGAAGTGTATATAGCCTGCTGGACAATGAAAGCATCAGGCTTATTGCAAACTGAATATAGTTCAGTAATACTGGATAGGCTACTATGTAATGTTAAATTTAACGCATTCAGTATTGGTGATTTGTATAATTACACATGTTGCCTTGAAACCATGTGGACAATTTGATCTGTTATTATTTGTTATGTTATTTAGTGGCCTAATACCCACTTTAAGGTGAGATCAAATTCACCATCCACTTTTTCTTTGTCAAAACGTTTCTTTGCAAGTGTGCCACTAGGCTGAGCTTGGGGCGCAGCTCCTGCGTTTGCCCACTGGTCGGCGCTGTTTACCACTCAATGGGTAGACCGAGGGGCTGATTTTGCAAGCAGCAGGTTTTAAGATATGATGAATCTGTAATGATCGCGTTGGGGAAACTGGTACATGTTTATCATTAGTATACATACCAGTCAAAGAGCAGTTGGCATGGATTGAAAAATTTGCCTATGTGTGTGGTGGTGGTGGTGGGGGGATGACCATTGCCACCATAGTTATGGAATAAATTTATATAGCACATTAAATATAATGAATCCGCTGATTAGCCTATATATTGGACATTTAACAGCCTGTTAGATGTAAGACTATATTTTCAGGAACGGGCTATATAGAATATTTAATCAGGTTTAGCCAGCGTGACTGTTAAAATAGAAAATAAAAACCAATAAGATCGATGCTCATCCTAAATTATTCTGCTTTATGTAGCCTATTATTTCTCTTGTGACCATTGATTCATTTAGTCATTTATGGAGTTATTTAGCCCTAAAAAGTTAATAAACTAATGATGAGTCTGTTTTATTAAATGCATAAATAATATAATGAAGACAATCGTAATAACCGGACAGTCTTACAGCAGGAGGCCTTTTTGGTGATGAGGTTTTGTTCTTCTGATTCATCCTTCTGAAAACGTCGATTGGCTTTAATTGCCCCCATTGATTGAGATAGTATAAAAACACAACAATGCAGCAGCCACATAGCCCGGGTGGTTCCCCCCCTATAAGAAAGCTGGCTGAGTGAATTGGGTGTAGCTGTGTCTGTGTGCGCCTTGGCCAATGGAACCAGATCCTCCCTGCAGTGCGTAAGAGCGCGATTTAGGATTTAACCAAGGCTTTGCTGCGGGGCTGCCTGCAGTCTTCACCAGAGCCCGACGGCCCGAGAGCCTTTCAACAATGCCAGTGTAGTTTTCACACCACTTTGGAGTCAGACTGCTTCGGGTTTATTTTTTTGCTAATTAAATAAAAAACAAACCCACGCGTTCCCTCTCGAAGTATGACTGGAGTATTCGACCGGAGGATCCCGAGTGTGAAACCTGCAGACTTCCAGAGCTCCTTTCAAATCTCCACCATGCACCATCCGTCTCAGGAATCTCCTACTTTACCCGAGTCCACCGCCACGGATTCTGGCTACTACAGTCCCGCCGCTGGAGTCACTCACGGCTACTGCTCGCCCAGCTCCACCTCGTACGGGAAGCCGCTCAATGCCTACCAGTACCAGTACCCGGGTGTAAATGGATCCGCTGGAAATTACTCGACAAAATCCTACACTGATTACAGCTCGTACACCACTCCAGCCTACCACCAGTATGCTGGGGCTTACAGCAGAGTGCAAGCCCAGCCGAGTCCACAAGGTACGGGCCGCAGATTTTTCCATTATAGTGAGCAGATTATTAGTGGATAATTACATACAGTTTTTGTCGACCGAAGTGTCCAAATTTCATCTTATTGTAAATTTTTTTTTTTTGCATGTTTTTCTGTCTGTTCTTCTTGCATAAAAATCCAGAAATGTGCAATCTGAAGCTATATATATGGGTAAAATAAGGAATACATGCTTATTTGTGGTTATTTGAAACCGAGCGATTCGATGTGTTTTTTAGTATTATGAGAATGCACATGCCTTTTTGCCATTCTCGAATTAATGTGGCTTCTGAAATACGATCTTTCTTGGATTCTAAGCGATTTAGGCGACAACCCACACACAAAAAAGATACTTAAAAGACAATTCTCAGTAAACACACATGCTTATTCTTCTTATGACTATTTTTACAGAGAAGGAGATAAGCGAACCTGAGGTGAGGATGGTGAATGGCAAGCCGAAGAAAGTAAGGAAACCCCGGACAATCTACTCCAGCTTCCAGCTGGCCGCCCTGCAGAGGCGGTTTCAGAACACACAGTACCTGGCGCTGCCGGAGAGAGCCGAGCTGGCTGCCTCGCTGGGACTCACGCAAACACAGGTGGGATTTTAAGATAATCCATTTCACTGTTTTGAATGTTTATAAGGCCTATTTGGTAAAACATAATGGCCGTTTTAGTGAGTTTTGTTTCTGTGCGCCTTTACGCACGGTGCTTCTTCTGAATTAATAGTTCCTGGGGTTCTATATAAGATATTAACAGACCTGTTTTGTGGGGGGGGGGGGTTTGCCGTTTTTCAGGTCAAAATTTGGTTCCAGAACAGGAGATCAAAATTGAAGAAGATCATGAAAAACGGCGAGCTTCCACCTGAGCACAGCCCCAGCTCCAGCGACCCCATGGCGTGCAACTCTCCACAGTCCCCGGCCGTGTGGGACACGCAGGGCCCCTCCAGGCCGCACAGCCTACAGCCGCAAAGCATCAACACGACTGCTTCTAACTTTTTGGAAAACGCGGGATCATGGTACACCTCAGCCGGTAGCTCCATGGCTTCCCACCTGCAGACCCCTAACTCGATACAGCACTCGTTGGCTCTTGGAGCGGGGACGTTATATTGAAAAAAACCCTGTTGTTCATTTCAATTTTTTTTTTCTCCTTCTCCTTCTATGGGACTCGTGTTCAAATTTCAGAGGAATATGCAATGTATTTGATGGCAGTCATAGAAGAAACGTGTAAAATGTGTAAATGTGTGCATGTAATTTATTGCATTTTGGAAGACTATTAAACGTTTAAATGGACAGTGGAACTTTGAAACCTCCGGCCTCACTGCAGTCTCTTGTTATTTTAACCCTCAGTTATTTACACTGAAAATCACGACAAAGACTCACAGACAAAATGTTTGTGAGCCTCAGGTGACATTTCCACACCAGGTTGTAAATCACAGCTGCTGCATATTGAGCTGAATGCGGAAAGCGTCGTAAATCTGAATCTCAGTGTAGATTTAATTTGCCATAACACCCACCATCTCTATTTATTCTGTGATTTTTAGAATTTGTGACTTTATAAAACAGACATTAAGCAAAAAATTTATTTTTGTAAATACAATTTTGAAAAAACCTGGCTACTATGTACCACAATATGCCTTAACCTTTAATAATTACACTTCTAAATCTAAAATGCATTCCGGTGTTTCTTGAACTGAATTGGTTAATATTAGTTGTGATCTCTGCAGAATATAATTTATAATATTTTATAGAGACTAATATTGTGTCTGTGGAAGTCAGTAGCGGCTCGATAGTATTTTGATACATTCTGATTTATGATGATTTAGACTTTGTATCCTGATATTGTCATAATAATCCATATTTTAAAATTAACCTAAAGTGTTACAAAATCCCACAGTATATTGCTACATATTTCTCCCTCATATTTAACATTCTTTATATCATTATTATTAGTAGTAGTAGTAGTAGTATGTTCACTACTGCCTGTGATCACCACCAGAATGAACCCCTTTTTATCATTCATAATGCAGTTTAGAGGAGAACCTGACTGAGTCTG